TGCTTCTGTTGCTTCTGTTGCTTCTGAGCGTTCTGTCAGCATGAGTGGATATGTTTTGTTCTCATGGCGTGACAAGTGTTTAGACATGTCTGGACGTGATGCTTTTGTTCCAATCGTTCCGCATCGGATGTGACCTGCAAGTGAATCCGAAGAGGGGTATGTCCCTCGTGTGAGGTAACGAATGTCTGAACCAGCAAAACAGTCAAAACACTTGTCACTTGATTCACAGTTGCCGGATGTCTCTGCCTTAACACTGGCATGAAGCAGATTGTGATTCTGTAGATAGGTCTTGAAGTATTGTAAGGACATTGGAACCTTACACTTGTTGGAGTTTGCTGCTACAGCACTGTAATGAAGTATACATGGAGGACAGGGCTGTAGGGCTGTAGGGATACATAGGGATGCTTGGCAGTGAGGAACATGTGAAAATCGTTCCACATCGGGTGAAATCTGAAAGAGAATCGTCGACGAAGGTGTGGCCTTCGCATGAGATCATTCTTCCCTGAGCCAGAAATTGGGAGATGAGATGACCATAGTTCCATTCTTTGAACTCTGTTGATTTTTGTTTGCCAATTTGTGATGTTTTGTGTCCCTGTCTTGCTTCTGTTGCTTCTGTTGCTTCTGAGCGTTCTGTCAGCATGAGTGGATATGTTTTGTTCTCATGGCGTGACAAGTGTTTAGACATGTCTGGACGTGATGCTTTTGTTCCAATCGTTCCGCATCGGATGTGACCTGCAAGTGAATCCGAAGAGGGGTATGTCCCTCGTGTGAGGTAACGAATGTCTGAACCAGCAAAACAGTCAAAACACTTGTCACTTGATTCACAGTTGCCGGATGTCTCTGCCTTAACACTGGCATGAAGCAGATTGTGATTCTGTAGATAGGTCTTGAAGTATTGTAAGGACATTGGAACCTTACACTTGTTGGAGTTTGCTGCTACAGCACCGTAATGAAGTATACATGGAGGACAGGGCTGTAGGGCTGTAGGGATACATAGGGATGCTTGGCAGTGAGGAACATGTGAAAATCGTTCCACATCGGGTGAAATCTGAAAGAGAATCGTCGACGAAGGTGGCCTTCGCATGAGATCATTCTTCCCTGAGCCAGAAATTGGGAGATGAGATGACCATAGTTCCATTCTTTGAACTCTGTTGATTTTTGTTTTGCCAATTTGTGATGTTTTGTGTCCCTGTCTTGCTTCTGTTGCTTCTGTTGCTTCTGAGCGTTCTGTCAGCATGAGTGGATATGCTTTGTTCTCATGGCGTGACAAGTGTTTAGACATGTCTGGACGTGATGCTTTTGTTCCAATCGTTCCGCATCGGATGTGACCTGCAAGTGAATCCGAAGAGGGGTATGTCCCTCGTGTGAGGTAACGAATGTCTGAACCAGCAAAACACTTGTTAGCGCAAGGGACTTCACTGTCACAGCTGCACGGTCAGTGCGGATTATGTTTGCTTCAGCCATGATCACCCATCAAGAGAACGGTTTGTTGAGCGGAGATGTCAATTCTGAGGACTGAGGTCACTAAATGGGTTTGGTGCTCCAAAAGTGAAAAGCAAAGATTGGTTCAAAAAAAATGACCTAAGAGATTCCCACCACCACCATGATCATCATCATCATCATCCATAATCATCCATAATCATCCATAATCATCCATCATCACCCATCATCATCCATCATCATCCATCATCATCCATCATCATCCATCACCATCCATCATCATCCATCATCATCCATCATCATCCATCATCATCCATCATCATCCATCATCATGATCATCATCGTCATCGTCATCGTCATCATCATCGTCATCATCATCGTCATCATCATCATCATCAGCAGCAGCATCACCATCATCATCATCATCGTCATCATCGTCATCATCATCGTCATCATCATCGTCATCATCATCATCATCATCATCATAATCATCCATAATCATCCATAATCATCATCATCATCCATCATCACCCATCATCATCATCATCATCATCATCATCATCATCATCATCATCATCATCCATCATCACCCATCATCATCCATCATCATCATCATCATCATCATCCATCATCATCCATCATCATCCATCATCATCCATCATCATCCATCATCATCCATCATCATCCATCATCATCCATCATCATCCATCATCCTCATCATCATCCATATCCGTTTGACTGTGGCAAACCCAATGACAAACCATGCATCACCATGCCAAATGTTCAAGCTTCGATAATCCTGGGCATGTGGAGAAACTTGGACTTGTTTTTTGAGATTACCCCAAAAACAACATGTTGCGTTGGATTCTGTTCCCCTTCCGTTCTGATGCAACGATCCACGGCCGAAAACTGGTGATTCGCATAGCGAGGCACAAGAGGCTCAAAGGGAGATGCAGACTGAGGAGATGTGTCATGTGGCAGATTAGGGTTGCATTGGGTTTGGGCTGAATTAAGATAATTCACCAACCTGAAAAAGGGTCATTTGGGGATGATTCCCCCTTACTAACCACAATCTTTGGTTGCGCATAACAAGGGCCACCAAACATCTTTGGGACCGTTTTATAAACGACTCTTTGTTGACTCTTGAGGTGTGTAACCAACAAAAAAAAATACGCGGTTTCTGCTGGGAAACATCCCAAGTATTGTGGTCAATCTAAGCAAAAATTGATAGTTAATATATGTTAATATATGTTAATATTCATATTTTGGCTGCTAGTGAGCCACCCAATGTTCACCTCAAATTTGTCCAATTGAAAATGACGAGTATCTCAATTTTTGATGACCAGAAGGTACGGGTCCATCCCCGCGATCTGCAGATTTTGTCCACAATCGCAGCAGATTTGTTTCCATAAGTGATTGTGGGGGACATCATCTGCAAAATAACATTTTTTCAATCTGGCTATGGATCAATACCTATAGATACATTTTAGTGGGATGAACATCCATTTACCAGCTATTTTGATGTTCACCAGGGGTACAAGGTTTTGACCCATCCCCATCTGTTGGGGACCCTGGAATATTCCTGATTTGCTGAGATTCTGGGAAACTATCGCCTTCTGTGATTGATAGTTTCAACCTCATGTTTGTTCCAAATTGGGTGCTTACAACATTGACTGTCAAGAGGGAAGACCTGTTGAGACTTAAGACTAAGATATGGTCAATGTTGTGGGTGTTGGTAATTACTTGTTTCATTTTGTTTTCAATTCTCCATGCCTGCTTTAGTTTGTTTGCTGGTAAATATATCCACGTGTCAAGATCCCCAGATATCCCCAGGTAGATTTGTTATCAAATGGAAAATGTGAACATGTTTGGTTTAAGTAAGTTGTTATCTGGTGGGTGGTTTCAAACAAGTATTGATCTTCAACCATATGTCGAACGATAATCCTAATGACCAGCAATGGGCCATGAAATCACCAAAGATCTTGCTTCAGGAGATGGTCGAGCTCAAATTGCGCGTGAATGCGTTGCAAAGGGCTAAGGAGGCCCCTTTGATCCACGGGTGAGTTGTGCGTTGAAGGTTTGTTATAATTGTTGAGCAGTTTTCAAAACCTCCGTTGCTTGATGATTGTCAGGGATTTCACTATCCAATATCTTGGGGATTATCGCAATCCATTAGGGGATTCCCTATCAACTGACTAGTTGGCGTGTTCTACCATTTTTGTGGAGGAGTACATGGCTATATTTGATGATGTGACGTTCCAAAATCACTGCTTTGATGAGATATCCATGGTTAAGGCATGAAGGGGTGACATGCATACGGCCAGTCACGAACAAATAGTCGCATATAAGATACATTATATACAGATATAACTACCATTTTAGGTATGATTAATTAATCATAATTAAACAACAACTACTCTTAGCATACAATACGTGCTGCATGCAAAAGGCAACAAGCACTGGCTTGCCAGGTGAGCGAACGCTTCGTGGAGGAGGAGGAGCCACCAAAGTTTCTGGAAGAAGTTGCTGTTTCAGGCTTCACCCAAATCGCACTTTAGAGGCTCGGAAGATGCTTTGCAAAATGTTCCTGTAACTTGAAGTAACTTGAAGGGGCTAGTGCCACTAGTGCTAGATAATTCTAAGGGAAGATTCGACGTGTACCGTATGGGACCCGCAAAATGACCTCTGCAGGGAACTGGCTTCTGAATTTTGAAGTTTGGGATCCTAAGAATTGTGCTGCTGCCAAACAAATACCTTCCATACAGAATCGTACAGGTCTGAGATATTCTGAGATACAGTTCAGAATGTCAGAATGTCATTGGCCGAGACTCTTCAACTTGAGCATCGACAAACACATCACCCTGTACGTGCAATCTGGCCAATGTGTTTTCCCTCCCAAGACCAACGGCCTGTGGGCAACTCCTCTACATTTCTCGTTTGGATTTTTATTGCCCTTGTGAAGGTACACCAATTATCATAGCTGAATGTCCAGACGCTCAAAACCACCATGTTTGCTGGTTGCATCGTTCACTCTTGGCTTTCAACACGAGTTGCAGTCTAAAGCTCGGTCCTCAAGATTGTAATATATTGCAATATGATTCCAAACTCCAAACAATTTGAAGATTTGGATTCATTTGTTTGGAATGTAATTATCTATATATATATACAGTATTATAATGTATTATATAATAATATGCAATCTAAACCTTCCAGGCTTCCAATTCGTAAGCCACCATTTCCGCCATTGTCCAGCCATGAATCGCAGGAAGAGTGCTGGCTTCGGAGCAAAGCACAGCTGCGGGAAGCTGAAACCGAGGCCAACAGGGAGATGGGTCAAAAATTAAAGACCTGGGAAAGCACAGATTGGATATGATTGAAATGATTGAATGGTCTATTTTTAGTATCAACCATGTATCAACCATCTAATTTAATCTAATTGATTGGGGTACCATGGGGTACCCAATAAATTGACCCATACCCATGTTTGTGATTGCTTGTGGCTAGATGTTGCTGGTCTCTTTGTTGCTGCGATGTCTCTGCCAGCACAGGTGTTGAGCGCCATGGCAAGCGCACGGCACTACGAGGCTGAGGTCATCGCAGCGGTCATTAAAACTGAAGAGTTGACCAATAAGAAAACAAAATTGAAGATACCCTCTGGTAAACTAACGTAACTATGGAAAATGACCATTTTCAATGGGTAAATCCACTATTTCGACTGGGCCATTTTCTATGTCGCAAACTGTTAGTTTACCAGAGGGTAAAGTGTACTAAAGCCACAAGAAAAAGTACTACTCACTACTCACCCAAGAATTTCACAGGGTCTCACATTCCCGAACAAAAACCGAAAAGATAAATGGTGTGTTCGGTTTGACCCGCAGCTACTAAATGAGAAAGGCTTGCTTCAAATCCAGCCACAACCAATCCTCACTGGCAAGCCGATTTAAATATAGTTGTGTAATACGAATGATACAACGAACAAACATTGCATAATTACGTAATCGCATCATAATCATTTTACACGCATTCATTGCAAGTGCAGGCGCTTTAGGCTTGGACATGCTTGGACTGTGTCGGGGATATTGGTGTTGTTTTCATGTCGAAAAAACAGATCGATTCCAGTCATGTATTACGTATGTGTTCCCTGTAATGAACTGCATGGTTTCCTTTTTGACTCTCATTTTGAGATCGTTTCGAAATGTTTCGAACATTGATATATATATATATACATATTGTCAATATATATATATAACTATAGTTAACTATATATAATTATCATTATGTATATATCTATATATATATATATTATCATATATATATATGTTTAAGATTATCTAAGATCTAAGTATCTATTTGCAGTATCTACAGTTTTGAATCGACAGTTGGACCTCAGGATGTCACCAGAGATGGTGGCGAAGTACCACGGGGAAGCTGGCAATAAATGGTGTCCTAAATGGTGGAACAAGTATATGCAACAAGTATGCTTCAAAATCCTGATTCTTCATGGCTTAATTTGTTGTTATAAGTGATTAATGTTTTTAGTTACATCTCTTATTCATCATATTTCAGGTGAGATTAGTTTTCATATTTGAAAAGAGATGGTTAAAATATGTTAAAACCACCAACCAGTATAGTTTTCCAGATGACTACCTCCATGACTTATACCCTCTGGTAAACTAACAGTTTGCTATGGAAAATCACCATTTTTAATGGGAAAATCCACTATAAATGGCCATTTTCAATAGCTAAAAAAATAAAAATGCCCCACTGCCAGGCGCGCTGTGCCTCTGGCGACGCCGTGCGTGCGCAGGCCAAGGCGACCGGCGCTGAGGCGGCCAGACGACGCTTGCAGGCGCCACCAGATTTCTGGGGGGTTTGAATGGTAAAACCATAGGAAAACCATAGGAAAACCATAGGAAAGCCATGGGGAAATAGATTGGAAATATATGGGACAAATATGGGACATACAGGAAATATATGGGAAATCCCTCCAGCTCAATGGAGTTTGATTTTAGCTGGGAAGATCATGGAAGTAAAATGGTGGATGTTCCGTTGCCGTATTTTATGACCAGAGGGTAGGGTTTGAACATGCTAGAACTGCTTGAAAAAGTTGGCGTATCATTGGCAAATGATGGTTGAAAATTATTGATATCAAATTGGGTGTTGAATACCATCATTGATATATTTGGTGTGAAGTGTCATCCTAACACTTGGGAACATACATGTCACATAGAACCATAACACCACTGCCAGTGAAACCGCAGTGGAGGGATCAAGCTTGAGTGAGCCAAAACGGCGTGCGCCACCTACCTGTGCGTTGCAATTGGCTGGGACTTCGCGTGCCGCAGCTACTACTTGTTGTTGGCAGCGGGAGCTTGGTGAACCACTACGTGCTGAACTACCTGGTGGTGATCTTTGGCGACTGCTGCGGCTGCTGGTGCTCTACTTCGAGGAGATCGACTTCTACCTGGGCTACAACCTGGAGATCCTCTACGACTTCGACCTGGTGACCTACGACCTGGTGATCTTCGACGTCTACGTGGTGATCTTCGGCTACAACCTGGGAGTCTACGACCTGAAGTTCGACGACGGCCTCAACGTGGTGAACTACCCCTTGAAGTATGGCATCAACGGCTGCTGGAAGCAAACCATATGCTGGTAAGGCCCATGAATATGTCCCGGAGTTCTCCAACAAGTCCTCCGACTACAAGGAATTCAAGAAGAGAGTCCAGCTGTATGAGAAGAAGATGAACCTGGCTGGACGAAGCACCGAAACAGCTTTCAATGTGATGGCTGCGCTGACAGGACGTGCTTGGGATGCAGTGGAAGATCTACAGATGTCAGACCTTGAGTCTACAGATGGCATCACAACGTTGCTGAAGCGCTTGGACACCGTCTTCAAGTACGACGCCCTGACCGAGCTGCCCAGCGACTTCGAGAATTTCTTCATGCATACCCGACGTGGGAGAAATCAAAACATCCAAGAGTACACGGCTGACTTCGAGAGAGCATTGCGGAAGTTAGAGACCCACAATGTGAAGCGGCCGGACAAGGTCATCGGATGGTTTTACCTACGTAGAGCCGGACTGAAACAGGATCAGCGACAGATGGTCATGACGACCCTCTCGGTGGACAAGCTCAACTTGGAGTCCGTCAGAAAAGCCCTCAACTTTGTCATTGGTCAAGACTCACTGCCCGACGCGACGAACACCTATGCCATGAAGTCCAGTCGAGGCAAAGAATCCATCTACTATGAGGATGACTACAACCTGACCTATGAGTACGACCAGGACTATGAGGACAACTTCGACGACGGCTACGCTGTGGACGATAATGGGTCCTACTGGGATGAGGATGAATGTGATGGAGAAGCTGATGAAGCTTTCATGGCGGAGGAGAATGCGGCAGAATACGATGAAGTGTTCGCGGCCTATGTTGAAGCACGCCAACGCATGAACCAGATGCGACTTGCCCGAGGGTATTATCCCGTTGTGGCGATGGTGCCTGGTGGACAGAATACGTCCAAGGCCCAAGGAAAAGGAAAGAAGTCTGCAAAAGGTTCCAAGGCCAAGGGAAAGAATCTTTCCAAGCAATCTCCAAAGCCTCCATCTGCCCGAGCCAGAGGCAAAGCTGCCCTTGGTTCAGTCAAATGCCTTCGATGTGGAATGGCTGGACACTATGCCAAAGCCTGCCCCCAGTCTGTGAAGCGAAAAGCTGAAGGTCCTGCTGAAGGTGATCATCAAGTCAACATGGTTGCAGATGACGACAACCCGGACTTTGTGCAGCAGGTCAACATGTATGAAGATGATGGTGAAGAATCAGAGCCAGACGATACTGGTATCTGGGACTGTGGTGCGGCATCAGTGCTTGTGTCACGAATGCAGCTGAAGCGTTACCTGAGACAGCTTCTGATGGCTGGATTCGATGTGCATGACATCAAAGCTTGGACATGCACGAAAGGTTTCCGTTTTGGAAATGGCAACAAGGACAAGACCAACATCTGCGTTTTACTGCCTACATGGTTTGAAGGATGTCGCAGAGACGTTCTGGTCTATGTCATTACCGGGAAAGTCCAATTCCTGTTGGGACGCCCACTGATGGAAAGGCTGAAAGTTTCCATTGACTACGCCGACAAGAAGATCAAATGGGGAGATGGTCCATGGAAGCCAGCTCAACTTGGCCCCAAAGGTGAATATGTTTTGCGGTTGGCAGAGCAAGTTATCCCTTTGCTGAACGAGCCGGTCAAGGAGACGCTGGTGCCTGCGGATTTCTATGACCATGTGCAACTTGAGACGGAGTACCCCATCATGCAGTTGATCCAGGAGAATGAGACTGAGGAGATCCATGCAGCTGACATTGATGAAGTTGATGAAGGTCAGCAACAAGGAACTTCCTCAACAAGAGCCCAAACGACACCGACTGTGACAGCATCGCCTCACTCTCTCATGGACTTGGACGAGCTCAAGGACGATGTGCCGCCCATCTTGGTCAATTCTGAAGGAATTGCCCCAATTCCGTTTCACACAGATGGCCGAGCACCAATTTGTGATGAGCCAGTTCGTCAAGTTCGACGACAGCAAGGAGCAAGCAATGCTGTGCGAAAATGGAGATCAGGTGAACTGAGCATGGAAGAACAAGTGACTGCCTTGGATCTGGACACAACCAGTCCTGAGGAAGCCATAGCTCAGACGGATGAGTCCTTTTCACCGACCTCAGATAGCCACGCTCCAAAGAAGTTGAAGACCACAGATGGCCCTCAAAACCTGAAGCGCTTGACTGGCAACAAGCTCAGATCGATGATGAACAATGTCCAACAAAAGATCAACGAGCACGAGAAGATTCTTTTGGCATGTTCAAGAAATGAACAAGCTGGACGCAAAATCAAGATTTGGGAAGTTTTTGCTGGAAAAGGTCGACTCACTCAGATCTTGCGAGAAAAGTATCCAGGAGTGAGCGCCCAAAGGTTTTCACTGGAAGAAGGTTGGGATTTCTCAAAAGCCAAAGACAGAAAAGCCTTCATCCAGAAGTTGCAGAAAGAGGAGCCAGATAGCATTTTGCTGTCACCAGTGTGCAAACTTTGGTCGATGATGCAAGAGCTGACACTAGCTCAAAGTGCTGAACGGCGTGATGAACTGATGCGCCAGAGAGAAGAGGATCATGACACCATCCTCACCTTCGTAGCCATTGTCTATGAGATCCAACGCAGAAATGGCCGAGATGCAACAGTGGAGCATCCATGGTTGGCAAGATCGTGGAAAACACGAGCGTTTTCTCGAATGATTGGCTATGACTGCTATGTCGATCAATGCTGCTACAAGCTTGCAATGCCTGATGTGGATGGAGTGATGAAACCAGTGAGAAAGCCCACACGCTTTCGAACAACAGGTCACATCATCTACACCATGCTGTACCGAGAGTGTCCTGGAACCCATGAGCATACACCTCTGGAAGGCTACATTCCGGGAGTTGGACATCGAACCAAGTTAGCCGAGAACTACCCGCCGAAGCTTGCGGCAAAATTGGCTGAAGCACTTGTTAGTCAGGTGAACCATTGGGAAGATGTTCAAGCAGCGGAAAACCTGGAAGAAGCCTACAACAGATGCGATGGTGTTGGTGAAGGAGAAGATGATTCACCTCCAGTCTCTGTGACCGAGCCTGTGCAGAAGAACCGTGAGTTGAGAAGACAGGTTGGAAACAGACCCTTTGAGTATGTCCAACGGCTGCACAAGAACTTGGGTCATGTAAGCAACAACACACTATGCCGAATGCTTGAGGAGGTCCAGGCCACTGAGAATGTCATGACAGCGGCGAAGAACTATGTCTGCCCAACGTGCTATGCTCGGAAAAGACCTGCACAAGCACCTCCGAGTTCAGGATTGAAGAGCACAGAGTTCAATGAACGCATCCAGGTTGACAGCCACTGGATTCTCAGCGAGGACACGATCGTCCATCCTGGAACCCCTGCCGCAAAGCGCAAGAAGCGCGAGCTGACTGGCAGGCAATGTGTTTTGACCATTGTGGATCATGCCACAAGGTACTGTGCTGTGAGAATCTTGAAAGGCGAGACTGCAGAGGAGTTCACGAAGGGAATAGAAAGGATGTGGTTCAAACACTTCGGAGTTCCAAAATACCTGCGCATAGATGAAGCCAAAGGATGGACTTCCAAACATGTCCGTGAATGGGCAAGCAGCAGAGCAATTTGCCTGGAAGTTCAACCTGCAGAACAGCATACATGGCTTGGAGTTGTTGAAAGAAAACATCAGGTGATCAGACGTGCACTTGAGCTGTATCAAGATGAACTTGGTCGACACGACCTCAGTGCCCTCAAAGAAGCTGCAATCTACGTGCCCCATGGCATCAGCCAGACGGAGATGGTCAAAGGCTTCACACCACAACAATGGGTGCTGGGAAAATCCATGACCTATGTGCACGGCCTCACTTCAGAGATCTTCAATCCAGGTCAAGAGCCACTTGACGAAGCTGGAGCTTTTTCACAGATTCAGCAAAAGCGCCTTCGAGCTCAGATGGCATGGCTGAAAGCCGACTCAGACGCCAAATTGCGGCGAGCCTTCCACCAAAAGTTCCAAGACGTTCAGGACATGCTGGTCGTGGGACAAAAGTGTTGGTACTGGCGAGTTGCCGGAACAGGGATTTTGCAGAAGGCCAAATGGCGTGGACCCGCCAGAATCGTTGCAATTGAAGACCATGAAGGAACCCGAGTCCTATGGCTTTGTCATGGAACCAGTCTGATCAGATGTGGTGAACGACAAGTACGACCGTTGGTTGAAGAAGCTGGTTCTGTACAGCCTGCTGATGTCAAGGCTGCCCTCAAGGACTTGGAAGACCTGAAGGCCAGATCAACAACCCAATTCAGAGATGTGGTTCAGGCTAAAATCGAGCCCACTTTGGAAGACAACCTGGAAGACAACAATCCTCCAGACAATGTGACTGACTATGAGCCGAGCCTTGGTGATTCGGACGATGAGCGTCAGATACGTGAACAAGCTCTTCCTGGTGTGGTTCAGATGGTTTTGCCGATACCCTTGCAGAACACAGCTGCTGAACGAGATCGAACACCTCGACGTGCACAACATGGACTTGCAGATGACGCAGCACGACCGATGTCGATCGCATCAACAGCTGAACCTGCGGGAGATCTACCACCTCAACAAGGTGACAGACCCGCCAGCGCCAGAAGAAAGTCTCCAAAGAGAAGAAGCAATGAGCCCACATCGCAACAGGAGAAGATACCCAGACGTGAAGAAACAGAGCAAGCTGCGCGTGAGCTTGAAGCTGCAGCGAGCACTCCTGCCCCCAAGAGCGATGATGATGGTTTATTTGTTGATGTTTTGGTTCATGAAGTTGTTGGAGAACTGCCAGATGGTTGGCGTTGCGTGGATGGATGTTTTGAATTAGATGACATGCTCTACACTGCCTTCCGAAAAGGAGAAGTGAACCCCAGACATCTTGACCTCCAAGGACAACAAGAGTTTATCGAGGCCAAGAAGCTCGAGTTGACCCAGTACTTCAACAATTTGGTTTGGGAGTTTGCAACAAAGGAAGAAGGAATCAGAGCTGAGCGCAACGGCAGAACAATCACTGCGAGATGGGTGCTTACATGGAAAAGCTCAGAAGGCACAGATGGCACAACCAAATGGAAGGGCAAAGCACGACTTGTTTTGCGTGGATTTGAGGATCCAGATGTCCTTTCTCTTCAGAAAGCGGCCCCCACAGCGAGCAGACTGTCAAAGACGTTCCTGCTAACCCTGGTTGGATGGCTTGGATGGACAGTGCTATGTGGAGATGTTCGTGCGGCCTTCTTGAGTGGCAAGAACTTCACCCGGGAGCTCGTGGTCAAGCTGCCGAATGACTGTGCTGCCCTCTTAGGAGTTGAAGCACCATGCTACATGAGAATGCTCAAGAGTGCCTACGGTTTGTCAGATGCACCGTTACTTTGGTATCAAGAAGCTGACAGAAGGTTGCAGGCCAATGGATGGTTGCGTCACCCCCTGGACAAGTGCTGCTATGTCCTCACAGACTCCAACAACCAGGACAAGGTGATTGCATGCCTAGTTCTACATGTGGATGATGTTTTGATTGGAGGAGAAGCTGAACACCCCGAGTTCAAGCAGGCCATGAACAACCTGAAGAAGAGCTTCAACTTTGGCAAATGGGATGAACTTTCACCGACGAGTCCTATCAAGTACTGCGGTGGCATCATTGAGTTCAAAGATGGTGTTGTCCAGACGTCCTATGAGGACTATGTCAACAAGATCTGCCCAATGACCTTGAGAAAAGGGAGAAACCCAGAAGAACCCTTGAGTGATCAAGAAAGATCGAAAGCACGAGGTTTGATTGGAGCGCTGCAATGGCCAGCAGGCCAGGGGATGCCAGCCCTAGCTGCATCGGTTTCCGTTCAAGCCGGAGATTTGGCTGGTGGAGATGGAAAGGTGTTGCAAGAGCTGAACAAGACTTTGAGGTTTGCAAAGAGCATTGCGCACCACAAGATGTCCTACCTGGCCAAGCCCGAGACAAAGAATGACAAGACCCTTGACAGCTTGGCGATTGTCCTCTATGTGGACGCGGCGTTCAGTGTGAGAAAAGATCATGGTTCTCAAGGAGGTTTTGTTATCCTTGCCGGAGACAAGAAGGTCTTGACAGGACAGAAAACCCCTATGTCAACTCTGTCATGGAGAAGTTTCAAATTGAGCCGAGTGTGCAGAAGCAGTTTAGCAGCAGAGTGCCAGGCTTTGGCGACTGGTTTGGAAGAGCTGCTATTGGTGAAGAACTACCTGACGCACCTGCAGTTCCCTCGACTTGGACTTCAAGAAGTACAAAAGCGAGCTGCTGACAACTGTGCTGTCATCACCGACTGCAAGAGCCTCTTTGACGGCATCAAGAGAGAAACAATTCAACAAGCGGCTGACAAAAGAGTGGCATTGGAATGCCTTGTGATAAAAGAACTCTTGAATGACACGAAATGTCAGTGGAGATGGATCAGCTCAGAACGACAGTTGGCTGATGGACTTACAAAAGTCAGTGCAAGACAAGCGTTTGCAGAACGTTTTCAAGGGCAACATGTGCAATTGGTTGCAGATGAGACCTTTACAGCGGCAAAGAAGAAGAGCAAAGAGGAGCGCAAAAGAACTTTGCAGGGGACAGTTGGAACAAGATCAACTACCGCGGCGACGTTGGTTGCTTTGGTGATGGAATCGAACGTGCAGATTGCGAATGGCAACAACTACCAGGTGGACAAGGTGAACACCGAGACCGACATCGAGACCTACAGCCCGATCAATGTCGAGCTCTATGGCATGCTGAGCAAGATCTTTGTTTTGACCATTTTGGTCGTTTTACTGACGATGGCCCATTTCCATCGTGACCTTTTGATGAACAAGTTCAACCGGATGAGGAAGCAAGTGAGACACATCTTCGTGATGAAGAAGATCCCGCAACGGAAGCTGGAAAATCGCATACGCGACCTGGAAGAGGAAGTGGAAAACCACAAGGCGAGCTTGGAGCTGCAGAAAGCTGGTTTCCTTCAGGAGATCAACAAGATCGAGACCGAAAGAACCAGAATTGAAGATGCAAAAGATCGAAGGATCGAAGCACTGGAGGAGCAGATTGGCGGCTACCAGGAAGAGCTTGCGTTCCACACTGATATGATCCGCAACATGCAGACGGCGATCAATCAGTACACCAGGGAGCGTGACAACTTACGGTTTCGTCTGACGACGATTGAAGCCGGACGCTTTGATGTTTTAGCTTCAAAGCACGGGACTCACTGGCACCGAAATCCGGAATGTCAGTTTTTGAGGAATTCAGAAAATCTGAAGACCCTCACCCCATGTGCTGGATGTACATAAACTTTCACTTTTCCCCAATGTGAAGTGTCATCCTAACACTTGGGAACATACATGTCACATAGAACCATAACACCACTGCCAGTGAAACCGCGGTGGAGGGATCAAGCTTGAGTGAGCCAAAACGGCGTGCGCCACCTACCTGTGCGTTGCAATTGGCTGGGACTTCGCGTGCCGCAGCTACTACTTGTTGTTTGGTATATAAACGATGGTTGATCACTAGTTAAGGCATGTTGCTGTGATTTATATAAGGTTTTAGCATCAAAACACATGGGGTAGCATATAAATGATGATTGGTTGATGATTTGTTCAGGGGTTATACTACCCAGTAAGATATTACTTGGGGATACTTGGGAGTTATCATAATCCATGAAAGAGGAATCCCTATCAACAAACAGGTATATACTTGAATCACGGTTGCTCCAATCTACTACAAGTAAATGATAGCAAGGGTGTGGAGGGGAAATTCGGTGAGTGTACCTCTTTACTCAATTGACCCCCACTTGTATCTGGGGCGTTTTTTTTGCATCCTCAAGTTGCAGTATGCCGTATGCGGTTTGCCCCCTCTTCCATGGTTGCTTCGTGGGGATGGTATGAGTTTTCGATCCAACAAAAGACCCTCCACCGAGTCCAGAGATGCTGCCAGTGGCGAAGATGACTTTCCGAAGAGCGATTCTCTATGCTGAGGGGATGGTATGATATGGATTGATATGGTGTAGGGTAAGCTTACTCTCTGGTAAACTAACATTGCGAACTGGAAAGTGGCCATAGAAATAGTGAGTTTTCCCATTAAAAATGGTGATTTTCCAGTTCGTTATGTTAACGTTTACCAGGCCGGGTCAGCTTAAGATAGCGAGTTTTTTACGTATCATGTGAGATGAACCGCAGACATCTCAAGTCGTCGATTCCCCATGGAGGAGATCCATGGGGGTCCAAAAATTACTGGTACTAATCCTGGGTAAATCGAATCATAATCCTCGACTAGGAAAGGCATGAGTTTGGATAGTTTGGTGGGTTCAAATACTTCAAATCCAACCTTTTTGTTGTTGAAGATTTTGGTGATATATCTTGAGATATCCATGTTGATTGAATCATTAAACATCGTCAAAAATCCCCACAAAAATTGCTGGGAGTTTTGGTCCCATTGCAGACATTCGATCAGGCTGAGGTGGAGAGTCTACAACGGGAAGTAGGGGAACCTTACGGGTAGCCGCACAGGGGCTGAGCTGACCTCACACGCGTGTTCTAAGTGATGTGTAAAATATGTTGATATAAATGATGGTCAAATGATGATTAACTGATTGTTTAAATGCTTGTTTAAATTGTTTGAATGCTAGCATATTCTGGTGTGTATGTATATATATACACACATGTACAAAATACGTGCAGCAACACAAAGATTGTGGGAAGCGTCACCCAACCATTGAGTCGGTGACATGTTTGGTGTCAAGGAAAGGGCTAATCCATGCTACTCCCTAAAAACTCTCATGGAATCCAAAAATCACATTGCAAAATGACATTGCAAAATGGCGTTTTACACGATATTACATGGTAAATGAGGTGCAAGTCCAAATGTGTGATGTTAATGTAATGGTATTACATATCATGGTAAATGTTATGGTTTTTGTTAGATGTGGTGCAAGTTTAAGGTCTGGAAAACTTGGAAACATGCTCAACAGCATGTCGCTGCTAGAAGCCAGGCTCAAGAGTGCTTACAAACATCTGAGGGATGCTGGCTGAACAGATTTCGCCAAGCTGAAACTTGGAGGATTTGATACCAACATATCCACTGCATCCATCCATGTTTCTGGGAGAATACTGATGCCAATTGAACTCCAGCACTAATTCATCCAACAATGTAGTTTACCATTTACTATATTTATATTTACTTGTACCTGTTTTTCTAACCCGATAGGATATTAGGCTTTGATTCTGAGCTTGTGGTTATTGTCATCAACTAGTGAAATTAGAATGCAAAGCCAACCAAGAAATACAGTTTGGATAGTATTTTGGTAACCTTGGTCTGTTAGTTGCATGGTAAATATACAGATCTAGAATGGGCCATGACAGTTTTGTTTGTAATACACTAATCACTAATACATACAAATGCAAAAAACAAAATCAGGTAAGATTGGCTTACATCTAAGATTGGTTCCATGAGATTTCCAAGGCATATCAAGGTTCACCAACGTTCCACACCAGTGCCAGCCGCCGCTCCTCTCTTTGGAAGTTCGCATGGCTGGCTCTGCTTCTGGAAGCCACTGGGACTTACCGGGGAATTACGTGTGGCGATCCTAACAAATCGGTGTTCCCAATTCAATGGTCTCATGTAGGAACAGGGAATCCTGGTTTATGGGAGTCCTCTTGTTTGAAAAAAAAGAACACCTATATATGTATTCAGAAAAGGCCATGGAATGCCAAGAAAATGTGGATGTAGTCTCATGCTTCGTTGAACTGGAGGATCTACTGTATCAAGTGCAAGATGGAGCACGGGTGAGATCCTGGGGAAGTAGCAAGTGGTTCGAAGAATCGACCCCAGCACGTCTCACAGTTACAAATTAATTACCCATAGGATCCATGTATGCTATATATGCTAACATTTACCATCAATATACCCCAAATGTTAGCATATATACCATACATGGATCCTATGGGTTATTGATCATTATTGTATACAGGTATACATGTTCTCGGGGTTAGTCAGAAGAAAGCCACCACAGAACTCAGCACGTTGCAACATGGCGTGAGTCATGTTGCAGTTTCTCTTTCTCGTAGTGCCACTTCTGAAACCAGCTGGCTGAGTAGGTCATGAAAATTAGACTTGGAAGGTGGGCAACTTAATCTCCAGGCAGCATCCCAGCAGTTATGACTTGAGATACTTCAAAAAACTGACAGATAAATGTTGCTATGTTCAGAGGAAAAAATATAAGCTAATCAAACAGCAATTAACATATTTGCCAGTGTTGAAACCATCTCTGAATACTGATCAACCAGTGTGTATAATAGCTACTACTTTAACATTTAAACAATACGCAGCTGAAATTGAAAAAAAACTCTAGCGCCAGGTTTGGCGCGCGAAATCTTCCACCGAGATGTTCCTCCAGGCGCTAAGTTTCAGTTTATATATGGTGACGTTTACACAATGTTCATGGGGATACAATATTAAATTATATCACGGAATATTCCAGCAACACTTCCTGATATATTTGAAAATGGGGTACTTGTGGTTCCCAAAATGGCTATGTTGATGGGAAAATAATGATGAACCATGGGTACGCTATTTTCAGAAACCGCTTGACAGAAAAGAATAGACAAGGTGTATTCTCTAATAAACAGAGACCGGCAACGCACTTAAGTCCTATCTGTCCTATTTGTGGTTAGTCAATCAAAATTCAACTGGGGTAGATTTGACATTCACTGGAAGGTAAAAAAATAACATTCAATCATTTTCACTTGCAGCATAGACATGGGGATGGATTTTCTACATAGTAAAGATAATAATCCATCCCCAAAATCACTGAATCAATGGGTGGTGTTTGAACCATTAAACCTGGGATTTATGATGATTTTACCCACATGAAGATCCTGCGGTTCGGTGGGCAAGGACTTCACAGCAGCAGGTCAGCCTTTGGAGGATGTCTTCCTGGAGCAGCTTCATCCCAAGCTGCGAGAGGTCTTCGCAGCTTGGAGCGACAAGTCTCTGGGAAAATTGGCTGCTTTTTAGGGGAAATTTGTCCCAAAATCTATAGTGAATGATCATTATCATCCATTGCAAACCCGTGGCAAGTTTGGTTTCTTCATTTTCAGAGAAAGCCAGTTACGAGAAGCACATGGTGCTCATTGGGGACAAGACAAACATGTTTTCCAGCTGTCTGTAAATCCTTCGCGGCGATTGTAACAGTGCTGTTGTCGCCCAGAAAAGCTCGCCGATGCTGAAGAATCTCTGGGAGCATGAAGTGAAGAGCGCTGTGGAGGGCCTGTCTGGAAACTCAGAATGGTTGCAAAGCTGGGGGTTAGCCTGGGTTCGGCATCTTGATGGCTGTAGCTGCTCTGTTGTATGACATAAGTACAATGTATACATGCAGATATTGTGACTATGTATGACATTTATAGATATCAACATATATATATATACATGTATATCTGGGTAAATTATAAGGACCTCACTGCGACCTCACTGGAAATCATGGTTAATGAGGGAAATCATCCCAAAATGGCCTTAATTCAGGCTAGTGAAATATTATAATTTACCCAGGTATATATACATATATATATATATTTAATATATGGATATTTGTCAATAATAGTAATCATAACAATAGCAAATAAAATATAATGATAATAGTAATGCATGTCCAATTCATAATATTATCATAATTAGTTATCATTGGACATAATACTAATGATCATCATAATTGGACATGAAAATATAATGTATCATGTATCATGTCCAATGTTGCACATCCGCTTTTTGTAGAGGACCACGGACGATCTCAACAAGTTGGACCCGCGACTTGGCAACCACAGGGCAATTCGGAGATATTTTAAGGTGAAAACCTAGGTTAAACAAACAAACAGAAACACGTGGATGATATCCCATGCTTGTAGTGGTTATATAATGTACTATAAGGTCATATAATGTCATATAATGTCATATAACTTATAACCAATGCTTGTATTAGTGGCTATATATATATATATATATATCATGTACTTTAATGTCATATAACCAATGAGATATATAATGTACCAATGAGATAACATTATATTCCATGTTTGTGATTATAGAATGTACATACATAATGTGGTTATATAATGTACTATAGTGTTATATATATATATATATTCATGTGTTGCTATTCCCAAAATATAGATGGAAATCCGACCCATTTCTGCCACCATGTAAGCAACACCGGATGCAGAGTATGTTTTTGCGAAGCGTCATCTCTAGTGAACGACATGAATATTGTATACCCATTGACCATTGCGGATTTGTCACCAACAATCGAAAACTGGGGCTTGGTGGTCCCCATTTTTGGAGATGTGAAGGCTGCAAACTCTAGATGTACCGGTTGGGATGCGATCTCCTCATTCCGTGCAGAAATGCTCGCATAGTTGGATAGTCTATGATTCTGGCCTACAGCCCATAGCCCTGCTTGGATCATTGTGGCTCGGCACTGGGGACCATTCCGAATGGGATGCGTCGCTACTAAGATTTCGAAAAAATGATCCAACATCATCCAAAATCATAGAACATACCCTCTGGTAAACTAACATAACTATGGAAAATCACCATTTTTAATGGGTAAATCCACTATAAATGGTCATTTTCAATAGCAAACTGTTAGTTTACCAGAGGGTATGTGTTTCCCACAGCCAAAAAAGAAATATTTTGACCCCCATCTTGGTAGATCTCCGCCAATTGAGCTGAGGGATCAGTTGCACCACTTAATGGACGCTCAGATACTTGGCCTTGGACTGGCAGTGTTGCCTGCATTTCTAGCTGCAAACAGGGGAAACATTAGAAATAATCTGGGATTTAAGATGATTTAATATGGGGATATTTAATCACATGATTTAATCTGGCTGGTGGTTTCAAACATTTTTCATTTTCCATAATATATGGGATAGTCCTTCCCATTGACGAACTCATATTTTTCAGAGGGGTAGGTATACCACCAACCAGATAACCATATTTAATGGGATTTAACAGGCAACGGAGCTTCGATCGAATCGCAGGCAGGCAACAATCCCATCCCCCAAGGGGTTGCAGGGTGGTGTTTCATTAGGACGGGGCCACAGCAGTTTTTTGGGACATTGACATCTGGTTATGACTCACAGTTTGCCATGGAAAGATCCACCATTTTTAAGTTCGGTAAACCATCTATTTCTATGGGCTCCCATGGCGAACTGTTAGTCATAACCAGAGGGTATCTCATGGCATGGATGGACAGGGAAGCGCTTAGGAAAGATGTGGATCAACGACTGGAGGAGGTGAATAAGCTGGTGGAGGCGCGAGTGAGCACACGTTTTAGCACTGCGTTTTAGCAGACGTCTGTGGATCAAAAAAAGAAGAGGATGTCTCTGAGATTTTACCCATGCATCCCATGGATGTTAATCTAGTTCACGAAGAATCCTGGAGGGTAAACGGAATGTAAGATGCCCTGTGTCCTCCAAATGATCACCCAAACCCAAACTTATTGTGGTTTTCTGATGTGTCCATTGATCGAGAACAAAACCACATGGGGAAAAAAGGCATCATAATTTGGATGCTGTCATCATTACCTGCAAAACCTGCTTTGCTCTATATGTTTCCCTCAAAATAGAAACACAATCGTCCAAACTAGTTATTTCTATGTTTGTGCCTGGAAGAAACAATCCAATCACAATTAATTAGTTTCTGTTTCTTTTTAAAAAAAAATGTAAATCCAGGAAACTCAAAATAGTACGATACTTTATCACCTGATGGATGAGTAACATATGATAAACATGTACATACCATATCAGCCAAACCTTATAAACAATGTAATTCAAATTGTTGATACCAACAGTAATTATCAATTTATATATACTGTTTCTATCCATCAATAAGTTGTGATAAGTAACATATATTAACCGAACAGCAAACATGACAATTGTGTGACTTGTTCAATATATATGTATACATAATATGTCAATAATAATAACAATAATATATATATATATATAAATATGTATATTTATAATAGATATGATATATAATATATAGTATATAATTTATATACATATATAATATAATATATATATATAGTATATTATATATATATATGTGTAATATATATTATATATAATATATACATTTATTTATATGTATATCAATATAAGTTACTTTTGTCGGATAAGAAACCTACCTTATAAGTTACAAAAAAAAACACAGAAGAAGCACGGCAGGACCACAGCGAGGCGCTGGAACATGTGAAGCACTTCTTTGGATCTCGGGAGGCTGCCGTGCCAGGTGCGCCATGGGGAATGGCCTGGTGGAAACGCGTGGAAACGAACGAACTAGCCAAAACTTGGAATGAAACATAGGATTTGATCAGAAACATAGGTTTTTATCACGGAAAAATGTGGATTTCATCTCAGAAACATAGGATTTTATCAGCGAACATGTCGAATTCAACGAAAAACCTGGGCGAAGTAACCCTTTGGGATGTAGCAAACGTGATGATTCCAGCAGCAAACAGGTTAATGTGGAACCTAACAATGGCATACAATGGCCATATCCAGCAATCATCTTTGGGGCTTCATTTTTGAGGTAGCATGTGAAATTTAGGAGGTGTACCCAACAAGAATTTGTGCAAACTGGATACTGCACCCATTGACTTCAGCCGACAAATGATGCCAGCAAAAAGTGGTGGCTCTGTTCAACCAAGATATGGATTTCACCCGCCAAATTCATGGTTCCAGCATACTTTAGTACGGTTTCAAGTCATTAGGTCATCAAGAAACAGCTGCGCCGCGTCCAGAACCTATTCATTTTTAGTAAGAGGGTGGCACTAAGGAACCTCGCGCAAGCAAAACCCTGGTGTGCGTAAGCCCGCGTAAGCATCAGCTAAAGCAATTCCTGAGCGTAAGCTAAAACTGCCGGTGCGCCAGCAGCGCGTAAGCTGCTGCGTAAGAATCTCCTTAGCGCCGAAGAACAAGACCTTTTGGACACAGCTCAGCTGATTTGCTAAAGGAATTTGTCCATACGCTCCCCTAGTTTCAACCCATAACCATGGTACTGTAGCACTACTTGAAGAATCTCAGAAACCTGTGTTTCATGGAGCTGAAGCATGCTGCATAGGGGCATGGTTGCTAGCTATCACTTCAAGGCACGAAGTACAATAATATGTCCACAGCGGATTTATTGGTTCTTGGTTAAACAGAGTTAAACTGCAACATGCTTACTTGAATCTCATGCTACAGCAGGTGTTGATAGATGAATGTTTGGCCTAGCATTTCTGAGCATTTCTTGGTTTCTTTCTATTTCGTCCCAACTTGACTCGTTCTGCGTATGTTTTTGGTTGGAGCAATGCCTTACAGTACTTAAGTTAATTGATGATCATACAGGGTTATACGATGTTTTGCTGTATATATATATTTAATGTACATTTTTCCTACAATGGGTATTATATACGTATTGTGACAAGCTAGAAATCCCGCCTCCAACCAGTACAAACCTATTGGTCACTGCATGGAAATGGTTTAGGTTTAGTATGAGTCTCTTTATTTTACCGCCTCAACCATCAACCTTTTAATCAGCAATAACCATCAAGAACTATAATGATAGTTAAGTGATAGCAGCGAAATGATTAGTGGCACTACTTGATATCCATGGCACTCGTCTGACCGTGGGATCCACTCCGGCCTGACCGTTCGAACGGCCAGCTTTGTCCTGTGTGTTCAGCACTTGGCCAGCTTCATCTGTTGGAAGGTGGGATCGGCTGGTCCCTGTGAGATAAAAACCCATCAGTTGAAGGTAAATACTTTGCGAAAAAGAGAGGTTTGATGGAGTGCTAAAGTTCAAAAATTCTTCAGAGATACTTTATGGTTCATCTAACCCCAAGAATCCATAAATTGATGCACCCTTCTAGTTAGATGAAACTAAGGGCTGTTCCAAAGTCAGTCCACGCCCAGGTCATTTGTCGCATTCGGCTTTTTTGGATACCCTCTACTACGAAATGTCTAAGATCCCCCCTGGGGACAAATCCCAGGGTTCCAGAATGGGGATTCAGTTCAATTCTAGACCTTTGACCACCCCCCATTTGTAGACCCCCGGAGGTTTTGGTTCCTAGAGTTGTTTTTTTTTATGTTGTAATTTGCCACTTCCGCCCACTTTGGATATTTTTGGATCATGTGAAGTAGCTACCCGGAAAGCCTAGTGCCCATTGTTTTGGGCATTGTCCAAAGTGCCCGGAATTTTGGTCATTGAAACATTTTAGGAGTAGGATTTCTACGTGTATTTATGGCACTCTACGGGTATTCACTGCACCGACATGATATCTCTAAACTCATTCTGTCGAATTATCTTCACAAGGGCTATAGATATGAACTTAGACCCGCCATTCCTTTACAACCCTCTGAACAAAAATGAATAATCAATTTGATTTACTGTATTGCTTATTACTCGGAAACTGTTGAGTTCTACACAAGGTTCTGAAATTATATCTCCCAACTCATTCAGTGGAATTATCTTCGCAAGGGCCATAGAGATGAACTTAGACCCGCCATTCTTGTACAACTCTCTGAACAAAAATGAAGAAACAATTTGAATTATTACTCGGAAATTGTTGAGTTCTACACAAGGTTCTGAAATGATATCTCCGAGCTCATCCAGTGGATTTATCTTCGCAAGGGGCATAGATATGAACTTAGACCCGCCATTCTTGTACAACTCTCTGAACAAAAATAAAGAAAACACTTTGACTTAACTCGGAAATTGTTGAGTTCTACACAAGGTTCTGAAATGATATCTCCCAACTCATTCAGTGGAATTATCTTCACAAGGGCCATAGTTATGAGCCTAGACCCCCCATTCCTGCACAATCTATGAGCCAAAATGAAAAACAATTTTATTTGTTGACCGAAAGGTGTTGGGTGGCAGAAAGCTCTTATTAAAACGTTTTAAAACATATATATTTAAAAACATGTTGAAACTATTTGATAATATTGCCAAAAATTGGTTTACGATGCTTTCCCCTGATAATCACATCAAAACCTTAAGTACTAACCAAAAAATGAGATCATCGTCAGGGACGCGAATGATTTACAGTCCCCAAGCAATAAGTTTTTGGTATTAAGATGAACCCCTCCAATGGGATCTTGATTCTTAAATTGTTTTCTAAAGGCGATCGGGATCTATTAAAAATGAAACTGACCAACCTGAAATTTCCTGAACATGGCAATCTGGATCTGTTTAGTAGTTGGGGGAGTTAGCTAGGAAGAGGGGATTAGCATGGGAGCAACGAAAAACAGGCGGACAATTGAGCCTGCGAGATTGTGGGTTTTCCTTGGATGCAATTCTTGATCCCTTTTTTTGACAACAGAAAGGCTCCAAAATGAAGGGGTTCTAGAATCATAAGCTTGATTTCCAAGATTGGATTCCAGAACCCTCCCAAAACAAGCTGCCAAAGGTCTTACCTCACAAACCCTTTTGGGGGGTCTAAAGTCTTACTCAAGGGTCTTTTGGCAGCTGCCAAGTCAAAAAGCACAGGAAAATGTCATCATCACCAAACCCACCTGGTACGGTTGATGTTTCAACCGATTTTGGCATATGTTGGTCACCATGTCCTTTAATGAGTGGCTTCGTTTTGCGACCATAACGGCGGGTTCCTGCCCGGAGGCAACGGCCGTCCTCCTTTTTGTGACGGCGATGGACCGGCGGACTCACCAACGATGTGGGAAGCCAATCCGGAGCTGCGGCGAAAATGATGCGGAAGCTGCCACACCAAAAATCCCATGGTTCAATACGTTGATCTTCCGAAGTAAACGAATGGCTTAAGCATATTGAACCATGGAGTTAGGCTCTTACAGTATTGAACCATGGGATATCCAAATGACTAATCTAACTCTTGGAAAAATATTCTTAAAAGAGTTAGATTGGTCATTTGGATATCGACCAGCCTGAGACACACCTATACTATGTATAAAGACATAAATATAATATACAAGACATATGTCGTACAGTAAATTCCAACAAGATAGAAATGGAATGCATGTTTCTTTTTATATCATAATATACTATCATATGATAGTTACTATAGTGATATATGAATATATAGATAGTATATCATAATGACATACATATTATGATAGTATGAGAATATATAGTTATCTATCATATATATATATATAATATTATATTATCCTTTGGTAATTTAACATAGCCATGGAAAATAAACATTTATATCTGAATTACCCATTAAAGATGGTGATTTTCCATCGCTATGTTAAATTACCAGAGGGTCACCAGCAAAAAATGCTGCTTCAAGCCATGAAGATTCTGATTGAAGTGGAGATCAGACGGGACAATTTGATGATATCATGGCTATTCTTAGATACACAGCGAATAGAAACAGGTCAGTCCCATGTTGCTCCGAGGCTCAGAGAAGTCCACCACCATTGCAGGACTTGGGGAAGGCCTGTGCGACAGTCCGACAGACAAATGGGTGGCTGGTCCCAAAAATGTGGAGAGTTTGCCAATTGATGGGGATATATACATATAAGCATATATATATATAATGTAATATAGTATTATATAATATACTAATATAACGTAATATACTATAATGTAATATGATATAATTAATATAAAATGATATTCTATACTGACGGGGATTTCATTGGGCTTGCAATGGGGATTCAAGCGTCAATGAGGATGCCGCTGTCCATCAATACGCTTTTGTCTCAAAAGATGGTAGCCCAAAATTCCATGGTTTCTCTGTGATCATAATTTTCCCGAAGAGGTTGCTATAAGTTGAATTTCGGCTATCCTCAACATTTGTGTAAGTACACATGTTGGTGCGCTTTAATCATGTTCGCTGGTGTTGACAGAGTGAACCAAGACGGGGTTTTCTCGCCAGATCTCAAGCCACGTCCACGACATTCAACAATCAAGGAAGCTGAAATAGAGACTACTGAAGGGTCAGTCGTTTTCATGGCCTAATCATTAATTTTTTGGCATTTAACCAACACACATGGGCATTTAACCATCTAACATGGGGATATATAATGGGTATATATTCCGGGCCGGTAGTTTCAAACATTTGGTGCTTTCAACCCAAGACATGGAATTATGATCCCAATTTCCGATGATATTTTTCAGTGGGTTGGCTCAACCGCCAGCTTCCAGCAGTACACGAGTCCGCTGCCTCACAAATTTAGCGGTCAGAGAGGTGTGTCCAGTAGAATTGTTTCATGATCTGTATGATGGGGATACCCTCTGGTAAACGTTTACATAACTATGGAAAATCACACTTTTTAATGGGTAAATCAGCCATTTTCAATAGCAAAACTGTTAAATCCCTGGTACCTGGTCCTTCCACGGTGCTTCAAATGTCTCTGGGCGGTGTGTCCGCCCAGACGGCACCGGAACGCTCACGTACCTGGGCGGATCAGCCGATCACCCGGGTGGGATGATATGGGATGTGTCCTCACAAACTTCCGAATTCGATGGAAGTAGATGCAGACGTGGAATGGATATGGCTATGGCATGCTATGGCTGGTAATTTTGGGAGACTTGTTCCCTCGTGATTTTTCAGGTTGCAAGCTGCTGATAATCTGATAGAACCAATGATGAGAGAGGTTTGAACCCACAAAAAACAAGTTTTGACCAAGACTGAGGGTGCATATCACATATCACTGGGCAGTTCAATTATATAATCGAGGTCGCCATTCGATGCTTTGACTCTGCACTGCCAAGGCCGCCAAGCTGCAAAATCAACGCTGAAAGCATTTCAATTGAGACCTACACCTGGATCCTTGGCTAAGTGCAAGCGAGGTACAACCACCTTGCCATAGTGGCTGCAATGTTTTCATTGGATTTGTCCGTCTTGGCGTGTATGTAATATACTGTGAGAAAGATGTGTACACATTATACTATGTATATATATTGATATGTATATTACATATATTGTAATTACATATATATATACTACAGGACATATGTACTAACTGGTTTCTGGGTTCGCCTTGGTTGCTAGGTCAATGGTGTTTTGGGCTATACAGGTGGGATGTAATAGGAAGCAAAAGATTGAATCGTTTGCAGGGTCTCTATGATGAGCTTTCTCGGGCGTTCTATCGTTGCCCAGAAATGTGTAACTACCGGCGAGTGGCAGAATGCTGCAGGATATTGCTGGTTGAGTATTAGAGCTCTTATGTCGGAATATACTCTTGAACTTACTGGGGATTTTTATATACTGTATTTTTATCCCCCGACTCCGCGACCACGAAAAACTGGGAATGTTGGTGAACAGGACACAAGGGACGACATCAAGGGTTGCTCTGAAAAGTCCTAGTGCTTTGTGATTTCTGGGGATGGTTTAAAGGCCACTAGAAGAAGCAACTTGATTTGCTAAGCCTGGCGGTTTTTTCCAACCGGGAGTGGTGGTTTTGGCCATGAGTCACCAGTGTCGCCCAACATGCCTTAATAATCATACATTGCTGGTGAATGGAATGAATGAGCCGCTGACACCAGAAGCATCAAACCTTTCCACTTTTTTTTCGCTTCACCAAAGTTGTAGTGATGCACCAGGCTGTGCCAATGTTCTTCATCCCGTCTCGGGGCGCTGCGTTTAAAGACCATGGAATTGCTGCTTCTACCATGCATGCCAATGGACGTAACATTTGCACATGCACAGTTCTACACAGAAATATACTACATGGATTTTAAGTCAAAACATCCGTTTTATGTTCAATTGGTTTCATTCATTTCAGCCTCCCTTGTTGGGATCCTCATAAGTCCCTAAATCCCACTAAATCTCCATCAAATCCTCAACAAATCCAACCAGAAATCACCCAAAATAAACCATAAATAAAAAAAAAAGAAATCATCCTCTTCCGATCCTTGCCATCCCCATCACCAAGCTACCCCCCTTTTCTCGAGGCTTCGGCGGCGATCCCAGCAGCAGCACCAAAGCCTTGATCCAACGCTTGCGTCGCCAGGAGCTTGGCCCTGTGCTGTCGCTACGCAGCGAGCTGCCGGGATGCAGAGGTGGGGGAAGTGGAAAAGCCATGAACAAAAACCATGGGAAGATTGGGAAGTGGAAAAAGTCATGAAGAATCATGAAAAAATCATGAATCTATGAAAACTCCATTTTTTTAAAATGTTTTTTGATACAATGGTGAATGTGATTTGACTTGAACATCTTGAAAAGAGAATCTTGAAGCTACAGGAATGGAACTTAGTCTGCAGGAATGAGGGCATTTTGCAAATTGTCTGGGTAAACACACAACTAACGAGAAGGAATGTGACATTGAACCATTTCCATGCATGCACGAACTGTCCTGTTGTATGTACATGTTTCTGTGGTGGAACCTGTAGGGTTAGCCATTAGCCATGTTTCGGTAAAGCAGAATGGACAAGATAGGCAGCAATACCCGGGGGATACTGCAACCAAGAGCAATGGTGACGTGACGCCAGACACAATCGCAACAAAAACATCTATAACTATATCTATATATCTATATGAACGTGGCCTCAAAATGCCCCAAACTGTTTTTTCCCGAATGCGTAGCGAAGGGTTCCCGTTTATAGTTGGGGGTCTGGGGGTTGGACCCGTGTTCGCCGCCAGTTGGTCGGCGCGTCGTTTTCGCGACGTTTTTCGCGTCGTTTTCGCGACGTTTTTCGCGTCGTTAATTCAGTGTCTATAGGGGAAGCTGCAAAACCTCGTGTCTTTTGCTACGTGGATGTCGCCGTGTCTATAGGGGAAGCTGCAAAACCTCGTGTCTTTTGCTGGGTGGATGTCGCCGTGTCTATAGGGGAAGCTGCAAAACTTCGTGTCTTTTGCTACGTGGATGTCGCAGTGTCTATAGGGGAAGCTGCAAAACCTCGTGTTTTTGCGACGTAGATGTCGTGTTTTTTGCGACGTAGATGTCGCAGTGTCTATAGGGGAAGCTGCAAAACCTCGTGTTTTTTGCTACGTCGATGTCGCAGTGTCTATAGGGGAAGCTGCAAAACCTCGTGTCTTTTGCGAGCAGTGTCTATAGGGGAAGCTGCAAAACCTCGTGTTTTTGCGACGTAGATGTCGCAGTGTCTATGAGGGAAGCTGCAAAACCTCGTGTTTTTTGCGACGTCGATGTCGCAGTGTCTATAGGGGAAGCTGCAAAACCTCGTGTTTTTTGCGACGTAGATGTCGCAGTGTCTATAGGGGAAGCTGCAAAACCTCGTGTTTTTTGCGGCGTAGATGTCGCAGTGTCTATAGGGGAAGCTGCAAAACCTCGTGTTTTTTGCGACGTAGATGTCGCAGTGTCTATAGGGGAAGCTGCAAAACCTCGTGTCTTTTGCGACGTAGATGTTGCGGTGTCTATAGGGGAAGCTGCAAAACCTCGTGTCTTTTGCGACGTAGATGTCGCAGTGTCTATAGGGGAAGCTGCAAAACCTCGTGTTTTTTGCTACGTGGATGTCGCCGTGTCTATAGGGGAAGCTGCAAAACCTCGTGTCTTTTGCGACGTAGATGTCGCAGTGTCTATAGGGGAAGCTGCAAAACGTCGTGTTTTTTGTTACGTAGATGTCGCAGTATCTATAGAGGAAGCTGCAAAACCTCGTGTTTTTTGCTACGTGGATGTCGCCGTGTCTATAGGGGAAGCTGCAAAACCTCGTGTCTTTTGCTATGTGGATGTCGCAGTGTCTATAGGGGAAGCTGCAAAACCTCGTGTTACTTCGTGTTTTTTGCTACGTAGATGTCGCAGTGTCTATAGGGGAAGCTGCAAAACCTCGTGTCTTTTGCGACGTAGATGTCGCAGTGTCTATAGGGGAAGCTGCAAAACCTCGTGTTTTTTGCTACGTGGATGTCGCCGTGTCTATAGGGGAAGCTGCAAAACTTCGAGTCTTTTGCTGCATCGTTTTTCGCTGCGTTTTTGCGTCGTTTTTCGCGTTGTTATTTCGGTGTCTATAAGGAAACCTGCAAAACCTCGTGTCTTTTGCTGCGTGGATGTCGCCGTGCCTATAGGGGAAGCTGCGGGACCTCGTGTCTTTTGTTGCGTAGATGTTTCCGTGTCTATAGGGGAAGTAGTTTGTGCGAGTTGGGTAGTATACGGTAGGACTGGGAATGACTTTGTCCAAGCTTTGTAGTACACAGTAGTACTGGGAACGTGTTTGTGCGAGCTTTGTAGAACACAATAGTACTGGAACGTGTTTGTGCAAGCTTTGTAGTACACAGTAGTACTGGGAACGGCTTTGTGCGAGTTTTGTAGTACACAATAGTACTGGGAAGTTGTTTGTGCGAGCTTTGTAGTACACAGTAGTACTGCGAACGACTTTGTGCAAGCTTTGTAGTACACAGTAGTACTGGGAACGTGTTTGTGCGAGCTTTGTAGTACACAGTAGTACTTGGAAGTACTTTGTGCAAGCTTTGTAGTACACAGTAGTACTGGGAACGACTTTGTGCAAGCTTTGTGGTACAAAGTAGTACTGGGAACGTGTTTGTGCGAGTTTGGTAGTACAAAGTAGTACTGGGAAGTAGTTGTTGCAAGCTTTGTAGTACACAGTAGTACTGGGAACGACTTTGTGCAAGCTTTGTAGTAAAAAGTAGTACTGTGAAGTGCTTTGTGCAAGCTTTGTAGTACACGGTAGTACTGGGAAGTGCTTTGTGCGAGCTTTGTAGTACACAGTAGTACTGGGAAGTGCTTTGTGCGAGCTTTGTAGTACACAGTAGTACTGGGAAGTAGTTTGTGCGAGCTTTGTAGTACAAAGTAGTACTGCACAAACATGTGTAGTACACAGTAGTACTGGGAAGTGCTTCGTGCGAGCTTTGTAGTACACAGTAGTACTGCGAACGACTTTGTGCAAGCTTTGTAGTACAAAGTAGTACTGGGAAGTGCTTTGTGCAAGCTTTGTGGTACAAAGTAGTACTGGGAACGTGTTTGTGCGAGTTTGGTAGTACAAAGTAGTACTGGGAAGTAGTTGTTGCAAGCTTTGTAGTACACAGTAGTACTGGGAACGACTTTGCGCAAGCTTTGTAGTAAAAAGTAGTACTGGGAAGTGCTTTGTGCAAGCTTTGTAGTACACAGTAGTACTGGGAAGTGATTCGTGCAAGCTTTGTAGTACACAGTAGTACTGGGAAGTGCTTTGTGCAAGCTTTGTAGTACAGAGTAGTACTGGAATGTGTTTGTGCAAACTTGGTAGTACACAGTAGTACTGGGAAGTGCTTTGTGCAAGCTTTGTAGTACAAAGTAGTACTGGGAACGTGTTTGTGCGAGCTGTGTAGTACACAGTAGTACTGGGAAGTGCTTTGTGCAAGCTTTGTAGTACACAGTAGTACCGGGAAGTGCTTTGTGCAAGCTTTGTAGTACACAGTAGTACTGGGAACGACTTTGTGCAAGCTTTGTAGTACAAAGTAGTACTGGGAAGTAGTTGTTGCAAGCTTTGTAGTACACAGTAGTACTGGGAAGTACTTTGTGCAAGCTTTGTAGTACAAAGTAGTACTGGGAAGTGCTTTGTGCAAGCTTTGTAGTACACAGTAGTACTGGGAAGTGCTTCGTGCAAGCTTTGTAGTACAAAGTAGTACTGGGAAATGCTTTGTGCAAGCTTTGTAGTACACAGTGGTACTGGGAACGGCTTTGCGCAAGCTTTGTAGTACACAATAGTACTGGGAAGTAGTTTGTGCGATCTTTGTAGCACACAGTAGTACTGGGAAGTAGTTTGTGCAAGCTTTGTAGTACACAGTACTACTGGGAACGACTTTGTGCAAGCTTTGTAGTACACAGTAGTACTGGGAAGTGCTTTGTGCAAGCTTTGTAGTACACAGTAGTACTGGGAAGTACTTTGTGCAAGCTTTGTAGTACAAAATAGTACTGGGAAGTGCTTTGTGCATTTCTAGTACACAGTAGTACTGGGAACGTGTTTCTGCAAGCTTTGTAGTACACAGTAGTACTGGGAAGTGCTTTGTGCGAGCTTTGTAGTACACAGTAGTACTGGGAACGTGTTTGTGCGAGCTTTGTAGTACCCAGTAGTACTGGAACGTGTTTGTGCAAGTTTTGTAGTACACAGTAGTACTGGGAAGTAGTTTGTGCAAGCTTTGTAGTACACAGTAGTACTGCGAACGACTTTTGTGCAAGCTTTGTAGTACACAGTAGTACTGGGAAGTAGTTGTTGCAAGCTTTGTAGTACACAGTAGTACTGGGAACGACTTTGCAAGCCTTGTAGTACAATGTAGTACTGGAACGTGTTTGTGCAAGTTTTGTAGTACACAGTAGTACTGGGAACGGCTTTGCGCAAGCTTTGTAGTACACAATAGTACTGGGAAGTAGTTTGTGCGAGCTTTGTAGCACACAGTAGTACTGGGAAGTACTTTGTGCAAGCTTTGTAGTACACAGTAGTACTGGGATGTGCTTCGTGCAAGCTTTGTAGTACACAGTAGTACTGGGAAGTGCTTTGTGCAAGCTTTGTAGTACACAGTAGTACCGGGAAGTACTTTGTGCATGCTTTGTAGTACAAAGTAGTACTGGGAAGTGCTTTGTGCATTTGTAGTGCACAGTAGTACTGGGAACGTGTTTCTGCAAGCTTTGTAGTACACAGTAGTACTGGGAAGTGCTTTGTGCGAGCTTTGTTTTGCACAGTAGTACTGGGAACGTGTTTGTGCGAGCTTTGTAGTACACAGTAGTACTGAAACGTGTTTGTGCAAGTTTTGTAGTACACAGTAGTAATGGGAAGTAGTTTGTGCAAGCTTTGTAGTACACAGTAGTACTGTGAACGACTTTGTGCAAGCTTTGTAGTACACAGTAGTACTGGGAAGTAGTTGTTGCAAGCTTTGTAGTACGCAGTAGTACTGGGAACGACTTTGCAAGTCTTGTAGTACAATGTAGTACTGGGACGTGTTTGTGCAAGTTTTGCAGTACACAGTAGAAGTAGTTTGTGCGAGCTTTGTAGTACAAAGTGGTACTGGGAAGTGCTTCGTGCAAGCTTTGTAGTACAAAGTAGTACTGGGAACGTGTTTGTGCGAGTTTTGTAGTACAAAGTAGTACTGGGAAGTAGTTGTTGCAAGCTTTGTAGTACACAGTAGTACTGGGAACGACTTTGTGCAAGCTTTGTAGTAAAAAGTAGTACTGGGAAGTGCTTTGTGCAAGCTTTGTAGTACACAGTAGTACTGGGAAGTGCTTTGTGCGAGCTTTGTAGTACACAGTAGTACTGGGAAGTGCTTTGTGCGAGCTTTGTAGTACAAAGTAGTACTGGGAAGTGCTTTGTGCAAGCTTTGTAGTACACAGTAGTACTGGAACATGTTTGTGCATGTGTAGTACGCAGTAGTACTGGGAAGTGCTTCGTGCGAGCTTTGTAGTACACAGTAGTACTGCGAACGACTTTGTGCAAGCTTTGTAGTACAAAGTAGTACTGGGAAGTGCTTTGTGCAAGCTTTGTAGTACACAGTAGTACTGGGAAGTGCTTCGTGCATTTGTAGTACACAGTAGTACTGGGAAGTGCTTCGTGCAAGCTTTGTAGTACAAAGTGATACTGGGAAGTACTTTGTGCAAGCTGTGTAGTACACAGTAATACTGGGAAGTGCTTTGTGCGAGCTTTGTAGTACACAGTAGTACTGGGAAGTAGTTTGTGCGAGCTTTGTAGTACACAGTAGTACTGGGAAGTGCTTTGTGCAAGCTTTGTAGTACAAAGTAGTACTGGGAAGTGCTTTGTGCAAGCTTTGTAATGCAAAGTAGTACTGGGAAGTGCTTTGTGTGAGCTTTGTAGTACACAGTAGTACTGGGAACGTGTTTGTGCGAGCTTTGTAGTACACAGTAGTACTGGAACGTGTTTGTGCAAGTTTTGTAGTACACAGTAGTACTGGGAAGTAGTTTGTGCAAGCTTTGTAGTACACAGTAGTACTGCGAACGACTTTGTGCAAGCTTTATAGTACACAGTAGTACTGGGAAGTAGTTGTTGCAAGCTTTGTAGTACACTTAGTACACAGTAGTACTGGGAAGTGCTTCGTGCATTTGTAGTACACAGTAGTACTGGGAAGTGCTTTGTGCAAGCTTTGTAGTACACTTTAGTACTGGGAAGTACTTTGTGCAAGCTTTGTAGTACACAGTAGTACTGGGATGTGCTTCGTGCAAGCTGTGTAGTAAAAAGTAGTACTGGGAAGTGCTTTGTGCAAGCTTTGTAGTACACAGTAGTACCGGGAAGTACTTTGTGCATGCTTTGTAGTACAAAGTAGTACTGGGAAGTGCTTTGTGCAAGCTTTGTAGTACAAAGTAGTACTGGGAAGTGCTTTGGATAGTGTGGAGTGGGGAGTGTAGAGCGTGTAGAGTGTGGAATGTGTAGTGTAGATTGTAAAAAGAAAGAGTGTAAAGTGTGGAGTGTGGAGTGTATAGTGTAGTGTAGAGTGTGGAGTGCAAAGTGTGGAGTGTGGAGTGTAAAGTGTGGAGTGTGGAGTGTAAAGTGTGGCGTGTGGAGTGTAAAGTGTGGAGTATGGAGTGAGGAGTGTGGTGTGTGTAGAGTGTAGAATGTGGTGGAGTGTGGCGTGTGGAGTGTGGAGTGTGGAGTGTAGTGTGTGGAGTGGGGAGTGAGGAGTGTGGAGTGTAGAGCGTGTAGAGTGTGGAGTGAGGAGTGTAAAGTGTAAAGTGTGGAGTGTAAACTGTAGAGTGTGGAGTGTGGAGTGGAAAGTGGCGAGTGTGGAGTGTAAATTGTGGCGTGTGGAATGTAAAGTGTGGAGTGTGGAGTGAGGAGTGTGGTGGGTGTAGAGTGTTGAGTGTGGTGGAGTGTGGAGTGTAGAGTGTAGAGCGTGAAGTGAGGAGTGAGGAGTGTAAAGTGTAAAGTGTAAAGTGTGTAGCCTGGAGTATAAAGTGTAGAGTGTGGAGTGCGGAGCGGAAAGTGTCGAGTGTGAAGTGTAGAGTGTCAAGTGTAGAGTGTGAAGTGTAGAGTGTAAAGTGTAGAGTGCGGAGTGTGGAGTGTAAAGTGTAGTGTGCGGAGTGTGGAGTGTAAAGTGTGGAGTGTGGAGTGTGCAGTGGGTAAAGTGTGGAGTGTGGCAGGTGGTGGTGATCTCGTTGTGCTGGTGATGTTGCTGTGCTGGTGATGCTGTTGTGTTGGTGATTTTGTTGTGATTTCATTGCGCTGGTGATATTGTTGTGTTGGTTGTGATTTCGTTGTGCTGGTGGTGATGTTGTTGTGCTGGTTAGTTGTCTCTTTGTGAACTGCACGATGCATGCAAACAAAGGTTCGTTTTCCTATTGCAGAGGTTTGCACTCGTAGTCCAAGAGCGTGAATACATTCGGGTTCGTGGCTTCCATCTTGTTTTTATCAGGCATCAATGGCAATGTGCCATGTTGGATTTTAAATCCATGGGAAATACAACACAATTGGTTGATTAGTGACAACTTTGGTGTGATATCCAAGAAAGTGTGAACATGTCCATCCAGATGGCTTTGTCTGAAAATAGGTCACCCCAAATCCTTTGGTGAATCACCAACTTCCTTATGAAACGGGGCCGTATTGGTGTCGCATCGGAGGCGCTGACCTTCATGCTTTGCTGTCCGCTCTAGATGGCAACTTGGACCAAGATCAGGCTGGTGGCCAAGCAGATTTGTTCAGAACGATGTAAAATGAGTATGTGCATATTAATCATGTGAATCACGATTAAAACATGCACGGAAAAGCAACGAAACACATGATGTGTATGTAGATGCATGATATATATCATCATACATATCTCAAGTCTTGGATGCCTGTGGATGTAGATGTATCATGATATATCGATCATATGGTTGATTGGATGATAATTACAAGCGAAGAAAAAAAGGCCAATTCCCCATTTGAGTTGATGATTCCCATCTCTGAGGAAACCTGGGATCTTTCTACTTTGATACTTTAATCTGTTGGCATAAAGGGATACAATTGTTTATGGTATGTTATAATTACATGTGCATTGCATATACACATATAATATCATATAATCACATGTTTATTTTGTGTTTAATTATTTAGTTATTTGTTTCTTTACCTAACCATGTATTTGTCCTTTTCATTTTGTGAAGGGTATCATCGGGTATCTAAGATTAGCCATGATATCATCAAATTGCCCCTGTTGATCTGCTGGTTACCCTCTGGTGATCTAACTTAGCTATGGAACATCACCATCTTTAAGTTCGGTAAATCAACTATACATGTGCCATTTTCAATAGCAAAGTGTTAAATTACCAGAGGGTAGTATAACTATTTAAAACATGTGATAGATAACTGTATAAACATTGTTAAACCATGTTAAACCATGTTTAACCACCATTTGTTAAACAGGATACGAGCACGTTCACTTCTTGAGCTTCGGATGCAACGACGCCTTGGCCAGCTCCAAGTCTCTCGCCTCTCTGCTGGTCCAGGTTCTTCAGAAAGGCGCGGGGCGGTCCCTTTCGGGACTGCGTCGCTGGTGGTCAGGGAATGTTTTCATGGATTGATGTTTATAATTGTTTGTGTACATGGATTGTTTATGATTGTTTATGTAATATGGATTGTTTGTGATTGTTTATGTAATATGGATTGTTTATAATTGTTTGTGTACATGGATTGTTTGTGTACATGGATTGTTTATGATTGTTTATGTAATATGGATTGTTTATGATTGTTTATGTAATATGGATTGTTTATAATTGTTTGTGTACATGGATTGTTTGTGTACATGGATGGTTTATGATTGTTTATGTAATATGGATTGTTTATGATTGATGTTTATGATTGTTTTTGATGGATTAATGTTGTATATAGCGAAAGAATATGTTTTTGTTCATGGATTGAAATGGAAGTATACATCATACCTAAGCGAAGAATAATATGGGGGAATCTAAGGTTGGCCATGAGATGTGGGGCGGCCGAAAACTGGTACTTCTCTGGTACTCAAGGCGAGAGAAAATGCGAGCTACATTAGGAGATGAGTTCTGAATGAGATTTGCGATTCTATGGGATTTTGAATTTTGAATCACCCTGCTTTTCAGCTTTATATGTATGTTTATCTACTCTTAAACCATAAAAACCATATCAAACCTTATTAGTTTTTTCCCCCTTACCGGAAATTCCGGTGGATCGGCCTGTTTCAACGCCTGGCTTAATGCGAGGCTTCATTTGGGCCTGTGACTTTGGTGAAGTTTACTTCAATGAGGAGGTCTTCGACCACCTTCTGAGCGCCTTGGACCCGCGGCCCCTTCGACCTGCGCGGAAGCGGAAGACAGGGCTGGAGGAAACGAGAGAACCCAGCAGCAATTTGGCGTTCTCCTTTGCTGATCAAGGTGCCTGGCATTTGGGATGATTCAGATTAGATGATGGGATATTTTAGATATACTATATATATATAATTACATGATGAATTATGATGATATAATCAAGAAACATATCAGGGGTAATTTTAGGGGCAAACCCTCCGTTTGCCCGCGCCGACGTCCACTGCGTGTCCAAACATCAAAAAACACTGTGTTTTGTGGGGCGAAATGCACATGTCCATGATCATGGCTTTCATCTTGCAACGCAAAGCTTAGCAACCTGTGCCACCACCACCACCACCACCATCACCACCACCACCACCATCATCATCATCATCATCATCTTGAAGATTCCCTTGAATATAAAGTTTAACGGGGGTGGGGATTTAATGATTCCCTGGAAACTCTGTTGAAACATCTTGAAGATTCCCTTAAACATGCCAATCAATATCCCTCTTCCATGTACTTGGAAACCGTGGAAATGCTGTGAGGGCGATCCAGGGGGGGTGTTGTGCGTAAATAAAAACACCAAGCAAACCTGGTTGGTCGTTTGGAACATGGCTTTTATTTTTCCATATTAATTGGGAATAATCATCCCAACTGACGAACTCATATTTTTCAGAGGGGTAGGTCAACCACCAACCAGATAATTTACCATTAACCATTATTATCCATTATTCACCATCCATTAACCACTATTTTCACCACTATTAGCCATCATTAACTATGGAATTCACCATTTTTGAGCGCCCTGGGCTCTAAGACTCTAAGCGTCGCCCAGGCTGCGGCCTCAAGGTGCATCAGATCAGCAGGTTGAAGGACCTCACGCGACGACGGCGGCTGTTCGATAAGGCGCTCTCATGGGGCAAGGTGGATCGGTGCCTTGGTGCTGAAGGCTGGTGAGTTGGTAGCAGTGCTATAGGAGTAGATATATATATATATTATTTTAGAGAGAGAGATGTTATTTATTTATTGATATAAGGGATTATTTATATATTTTGGGAGGTTCGAAGCATTAGCAGCTGTGACAGTAGCATTGCATCCCGCATGTCCATGTTTTGAGGATGATTCACTTGTACCAGATCCATAGGGTATCATAGGGTGATCTCATATCTCATGGCGGAACATGGCCTCGCTTCAAGACGCTAGAGGCTTCAAAATGCAAGGTTTTCCAAATAATTAATTAGATGCCTTATTAAACCCTTATTAAACCCTTATTAAACTAATAACTTGGATGGTTGGGGTCCCCGTTTTCACCCGTTTTCACCATTGGACCATCCCCCACTCAAAATGAGTCATCCAATCATCCAAGAAGTTGGATTTTGAAACTCGATGGATTGTTAGTGCTTGGTGGTTTGGAACCATGGAATTTGGAACAATGGAATTTTATGTGTCCATATTAATTGGGAATTTGATAATGAATTTCATAATCCCAAGTGACGAACTCCATCATTTTTTAGAGGGGTTGAACCCGTTGAAACCACCAACCAGGACGCACGCGCCGTGGCTGGACATCCCGCGCGTCTTCGGAATGGTGATGAGGTCCAAGAACTTGACAAAATGCTTCTGGGTGGCGTCAAGTCATAAATGGGGGTTTCCATTCATATATATAAATGGGGGTACCCCAAAATGGATGGTTTATAGTGGAAATCCTATTGAAATGGATGATTTGGGGGTCCCCCTATTTTAGGAAACCTCCATTTGGGTAGAGCCCACTTTTGGGCGAAGTGCATCTGTTTGGAATCGAAAATGCCATCCCAGAATGTAGAGTTTCCATGGGTTGCCTGGGTTGCCCTATTTCACTAACCATAGACTGCATAGATCAAAAAAAATGTGGATTGTTGGGTCCCAAGTTTCACCAGGTGTCAGTTTCAATTCCTGGCCTGGTGAACCTCTCATGATTCTCCTGGCACATGGATGTTGATACCGCATGCCCCCGAACTCACTCGTCCAAGTTTGGATTCATTTTGATCTCTTGTTCCGCACATCAGCCTTGCTGCAACACGTGTTTTTAATCCCATGACATGCAATGTCAAGCCCGGATCAAGAAGCCCTGACAATCAATTGGAGGGATTAACCCCAAAATTGTGTTAAAATGGGTACCCCATGTACCCCCCCAATGAATAAACTGGGGGGGTTTATTACTCCTGGATCAACATGATGCCACGGCAGTACTAACACAACGAGGTTTTTGGCGGCCGTATCAAGAAGCGGAATTCTGGCGCAGAGCTGGCTTTCACTGCACCGGCGGCCCACGTTTGAACCTGCAAAGATCGGGTGGCAAGCGCGTGAATCCATCCATTCGTCGCTTGTCAAGGCAAGGAAGTGGAACCTCAAAGGTTGCGGTGCAGCTGTATCAGCGGACTGCTTGGTGGTTTCAACATGTTTCAATGTGTTTCGAGATGTGTTTCTTCATGCTTGTTTCTGTCCCCACACTTGATGATGACTCCCCAAGCGCTACCAATTGTTTATGTAGCGAAACCACCAGTTTACTTTAGCGCATCCGCATGCAACACGGAAATTCGAAAGCTGCTTCATCCATCCAGATTGAGAGGCTTCAGCAGCACATCTCCCACAATCACCCCCCACAAGTTGACGATGCACCAGCTGCAAACCCGGCTTATGCACTTTGAGCTTTTGTTGATCAACTGGCAGAGTACTAAATCCTAAGCAAGTTTGAGCAATGCCTATTTGATGCCTGTTAGTTAATATGTTAATGATATACACTCTATATTTATATATATATATAATTATATATATATACATACATGCGGATTCATCTGAAAATAGATGAATAATGCCCCCAAATTAAGGATGGCAATGTGATGCTTATCAATTGGACAGGGTGTTCCCAATTTACAGGCAAACCTACAAACACGACCAAGCTAGTATGATACAAACTATGGATGTTAGCAACATTGTATCATGTCACATAGAATGTCAGAAGAGATGTCAGATAGAATGCTGGTTGGTGGTTTCAAACATTTTTAATCTTCCATAATATATGGGATAATCCTTCCCATTGACTTATTCCACCTGCCAGGTGAGGGTTGTTAGATTTTATCAGAGCGCATGCCCGCCTCCTCCTCCTCCTCGACTAGCTGTCCTCCTCGCCCTCCTCCTCGCCTCCGCCTCTTCCACCTCCACTTCCGCCTTGCTCCACCTCCACTTCCGCCTTGCCAACCTTGCCAACTCGTCGCCAAGCTCTTCGCCAACTGCCCAGCTCAGTGCGCACTGCTGGACGTCAACCTGCGAGCTGCCCAGCTCAGTGTGCACCGCTGGACCTCAACCTTCGAGCTGCCCAGCTCAGTGTGCACTGCTGGACCTCAACCGGGGACCTGCCCAGCTCAGTGTGCACCGCTGGACCTCAACCTGCGAGCTGCCCAGCTCAGTGTGCACCGCTGGACCTCAACGGACAGATAGAATGCCAGATGGAATGTCAGATAGAATGCCAGAAGATATGCCAGATAAAATGCCATGAGATATGCCAGATAGAATGCCAGAAGGTATGCCAGATAGAATCCCAGAAGATATGCCAGAACATATGCCAGAAGATATGCCAGATAGAATGCCAGAATATATGCCAGATAGAATGCCAGATAGAATGTCAGAAGATACGCCAGATAGAATCCCAGAAGATTTGCCAGATAATATTCCAGAAGATATGCCGGATAGAATGCCAGATAGAATGCCAGAGAGAATGCCAGAAGATATGCCAGAACATATGCCAGAAGATATGCCAGATAGAATGCCAGAAGATATGCCAGATAAAATGACATGAGATATGCCAGATAGAATGCAAGAAGCTATGCCAGATAGAATGTTAGAAGATATGCGAGAGAGAATGCCAGATTGAATGCCAGAAGATATGTCGCCAGATTGAATGCCAGATTGATGTTCCTGTGGAGCTGGGAAATATGTCGCCACACTTGGCAGAAGCAATGCTTGTGGTGGAAGATATGCCAATATTAAAACGTAAGAATGTCATGGTGGGGATCACTCGAAGTAAAGTATTTTTTTCAGAGGGGTAGGTCAACCACCAGCCAGAATGTCATGGTGGGGATTACTCGAAGAAAGTAATTTTTTTCTGCCGTCCAATCCACTGGGAGCCGTCCCTCCTTTCGAAAAAAAATCAGGTCGCTTGACGACTGCAATGCACCGTGGCAACCTCGAGCTTCTTGCCAGGATTCAACAGGATTCAACAGGATTCAACAATCCGATGGATTTTCTGATGATGTGTAAAAAGTGTGTAAAAAAAAACTGGTGAATCTACCATTTGAATCCATTTGAGGGAAAGCTACTGGGGGATCTTCTCAGCGGAATTTGGGAAAGCAAATACGAAGGCCGGCCGCGCTGCAGAAAGCCTTTCCACCCGGAGATGAAGGTGAACGGCGAAGCAGAGAACTTCTGCAGACTTGTGGCCAGACAAAGCAGTACGGAGATGGGTTGATGATCAACGCGTGGTGCTTGGAGTATACAAAGTGTGGAAAGATCCACCCATTTTTAATGGGTAAACCATCTATTTCTATGGGCCATCTATACCATGGCTATGTTAAATAGCCAGAGGGTATATCTATGTATATCTTATATTTAATTATATATATATATACAGTAGAATTACAGTAGTATTAAATTTTATAGTAATCTTTGGCTACAAAAAAAGTCCCAGGAACATTGGCCGTTGGGTTTTAATCTCTGGGTTTGGGAGTGGTGCGTCGTTTCTTGCCAAATTCAAAAAATGGAACCCAGCAACCTTGGAACCTGCTGTTGGGTTGCAAAATGTTGCAAAGCTGGGTTGATGTGGTAATGTCAGCAATAAATCATAATTACTTTGCTAATTGGGGGCTTATAGGCCTTCAAATTGATTATCAATGTTGTTTTTCTTACATGCTCCATAACCAGCAAAAATCCTGGAGGAACAAGTGGGAAGAAGTTTTTCGCAGTTGGGCGACCGGGACCCCAAGACGCCAGGGACCCCATGGTAAGTGAATTGGATATCCCGGCCATCTGATATCAACAATATTACCCTCTGGTAAACTAACATAGCTATTGAAAATGGCCATTTATAGTGGATTTACCCATTAAAAATGGTGATTTTCCATAGTTATGTTAGTTTACCAGAGGGTAAAAACTAAAATGGGCCCTGCCGACCCATTTTGGGATCAAATTTAATGGAGGTTCCGCGATGAATTTTTCATGGGAATATGGATGATGGAATTTGCAAGTTGGGGTCCTCAAATTTGCCCAACATCCAAGACCCACAAAATGTTGCTACTGGCAATAGAATTGCTTAGTCGCCCATCAGCTGGTGAAGAAAATCCAGGAATTTGTCGGATTGCAAGATGGCTAGTAGGTAGGGCTACCAGTAGTACCCGCACGAGGCGGGGCGGAAGTTGCCTTAAAGATATATATAAGACCTTTCTCATCTATAGAACTTGCATGCGCCGTGCGCCAGCCAAGCCCGTGCGTGCGTGCACTCTGCGAAAGTGGTGTCTTGTTTCACATGTCACATTTGAAGCTCCACTTCGCACTTCGCACTTCTCACTGCAGTCTTCACACTCCACACTGCACACTTCACACTCCACCCTTCACACTGCACTCTTCACACTGCACCCTTCGCAGTCAACACTTCACTTCACACTGTACTCTTAAGACTCCACACTTCACACTTCACACTTCACACTCCACACTTCACACTTCACACTGCACTCTTCGCACTCCAAACTTCACACTTCACAGTCCACACTTCACACTTCTCACTTCTCACTGCTTCCTTCACACTCCAAACTTCACACTTCACACTTCACACTACACTCTTCACACCCCACACTTCATCTCATCTGAGCTCTTCGCACCTTATCCCAGCTCAGCTCTTCTCATCTCATCTCTTCTCATATGTCATCTAAGCTTTCATGAATGACTTCCCAATACTACTAGAAAGGAACTTGCATGCGCAGTGCGCCAGCCAGGCCTGTGCGTGCGTGCTTTGTGCGAAGCTGTTGCAATGTTGTTGTCCAAGAACATGACCTGCACGCGTCCCCGGTACAATGCAAACACTTTCCTCACACTTCACATTGCACTCTTCACACCCCACACTCCACACTTCACACTTGCACTTCGTCTCAACTCATCTCATCTGAGCTCTTCTCATCTCATCCCATGCCTTCCCATATGTCAGCTAAGTTCTTCTTGGCTATTTTTATGTCAAGTACTTCCCAGTACTGATGTCTAATACAAAAGCTTGCAAAAACCACTTCCCAGTACTACTTTGTACTACATAGCTTGCGCAAAACACTCCCCAGTACTACTTTGTACTACAAAGCTTGCACAAACTACTTAGTACTACTTTGTACTACAAAGCTTGCACAAACTACTTCCCAGTACTACTTTGCACTACAAAGCTTGCACAAAGCACTCCCCAGTACTACTTTGTACTACAAAGCTTGCACAAACTACTTCCCAGTACTACTTTGTACTACAAAGCTTGCACAAAACACGTTCCAGTACTACTTTGTACTACAAAGCTTCTACACACATCAAGTTCTTTCGCAGAGAAGCTTTTACACAGCAAGCTTTTCAAGCAGAGAAGCTTTTACACACAGAAGCTTTTACACACAACAAGCTTCTTCACAGAGAAGCTTTCACACACGGCAAGCGTTTACACACAGAACACTTACACACAGTGCTTTTACACATGGCAAGCGTTTACACACAGAAACTTTTGCACAGAGACGCTTTTACACACAGAGAGGCTTTTACACACAGCAAGCTTTTACAAACAAAATCTTTTTCACACAGCAAGCTTTCAAACACAGCAAGCGTTTACACACAGAACACTTACACACAGTGCTTTTACACATGGCAAGCGTTTACACACACAGCAAGCTTTTTAAACAGAGAAGCTTTTACACACAACAAGCTTTTACACAGAGAAGCTTTACACAGCAAGCTTTCACACACAGCGGGCGTTTACACACAGAACACTTACGCACAGTGCTTTTACACATGGCAAGCGTTTACACACACAGCAAGCTTTTTAAACAGAAAAGCGTTTACACACAACAAGCTTTTACACACACAGCAAGCTTTCACACACAGCAAGCGTTTACACACAGAACACTTACGCACAGTGCTTTTACACATGGCAAGCGTTTACACACACAGAAACTTTTACACAGAGACGCTTTTACACACAGCAAGCTTTTACAGAAAAAGTTTTTGCACAGAGAAGCTTTCTTGTACATAATCACAACAGGAATTGCAGCTCCAAAACTGGATCTCGACGCCACAGCGACAAAAAGACGATTTTGAAGCACTTTTTAAAAGGAATTTTAAAAGGAAAATTGTTAGCGCCAAAATTGAGAAAATCTGCTGACAAATCACTTTCGCAGCCTTGATGCAGCCATTCCAATACGATTTACGATCTTCAGCTGCAAAAGACAATAGTATTACGCATGCAGCCGCAGCACCGAGCAACCTTGACGCACCCACTACAATGAATCTGCAGAGACTGAGTTGGAAAGCACAAAAGAACTGCCCGCAACGGTGTCGGAAATTGCAGCTCCAAAACCGAATCTCGACGCCAAAGCGACAAAAAGACGATTTTGAAGCACTTTTTAAAAGGAATTTTAAAAGGAAAATTATTAGCGCCAAAATTGAGAAAATCTGCTGACAAATCACTTTCGCAGCCTTGATGCGGCCACTCCAATACGATTTACGATCTTCAGCTGCAAAAGACAATAGTCTTACGCATGCAGCCGCTGCACCAAGCAACCTTGACGCAGCCACTACAATGCGATCTGCAGAGACTGAGTTGCAAAACACAATAGAACTACGTGCAATGGCGTCGGAAATTGCAGCTCCAAAACCGGATCTCGACGCCAAAGCGACAAAAAGACGATTTTGAAGCACTTTTTAAAAGGAATTTTAAAAGGAAAATTATTAGCGCCAAAATTGAGAAAATCTGCTGACAAATCACTTTCGCAGCCTTGATGCAGCCATTCCAATACGATTTACGATCTTCAGCTGCAAAAGACAATAGTATTACGCATGCAGCCGCTGCACCAAGCAACCTTGACGCAGCCACTACAATGCGATCTGCAGAGACTGAGTTGCAAAGCACAATAGAACTACGTGCAATGGCGTCGGAAATTGCAGCTCCAAAACCGGATCTCGACGCCAAAGCGACAAAAAGACGATTTTGAAGCACTTTTTAAAAGGAATTTTAAAAGGACAATTATTAGCGCCAAAATTGAGAAAATCTGCTGACAAATCACTTTCGCAGCCTTGATGCAGCCATTCCAATACGATTAAGGATCTTCAGCTGCAAAAGACAATAGTATTATGCATGCAGCCGCTGCGCCAAGCAACCTTGACGCAGCCACTACAATCGATCTGCCACCTACAGCTTCAGAACGCTAGACTACGCCCACATACCCACCTCGTTGCAAAACACATAGGGAACAATTCGGCGCATGAAACGACCGCAGCCGCAACCGCCTGCACATACGAGGTACCTTTCATCGCGCCTGCAGCACCCCACACAGCCCCGAGTCCGCTCCTAAAACACTTTACCGCGTCAAAACACAAGGTTTCGTGCTCCGGCTTCCTCCCCAAAACAGAGCCCTTGCAACATCATGCAGCCATTCCAATGCGATCTGCAAGCACGGATTCCAAAACACCCTATAACTACGCACACACAAGCACACCCAAAGCAGCTTGAAGCCACCGTTACAATGCGGCAAAAAAAAAAGGCAAACCGACCGCAGCCGCACCCGCCGCACAGACGAGGTACCTTTCATCGCCGGCTGCAGCCACTTTACACGGAAAAACACAAGGTTTCGTGCTCCGGCTTCCTCCCCAAAACAGAGCCCTTGCAACATCATGCAGCCATTCCAATGCGATCTGCAAGCACAGATTCCAAAACACCCTATAACTACGCACACACACAAGCACACCCAAAGCAGCTTGAAGCCACCGTTACACTGCGGCAAAAAAAAAACGACCAACCGACCGCTCCGCAACACCCGCCGCACAGACGAGGTACCTTTCATCGCCGGCTGCAGCCACTTTACACGGAAAAACACAAGGTTTCGTGCTCCGGCTTCCTCCCCAAAACAGAGCCCTTGCAACATCATGCAGGCATTCCAATGCGATCTGCAAGCACAGATTCCAAAATACCCCATAACTACGCACACACAAGCACACCCAAAGCAGCTTGAAGCCACCGTTACAATGCGGCAAAAAAAAAGGCAAACCGACCGCAGCCGCACCCGCCGCACAGACGAGGTACCTTTCATCGCCGGCTGCAGCCACTTTGCACGGAAAAACACAAGGTTTCGTGCTCCGGCTTCCTCCCCAAAACGGAGCCCTTGCAACATCATGCAGCCATTCCAATGCGATCTGCAAGCACAGATTCCAAAACACCCTATAACTACGCACACACAAGCACACCCAAAGCAGCTTGAAGCCACTGTTACAATGCGGCAAAAAAAAAAGGCAAACCGACCGCAGCCGCACCCGCCGCACAGACGAGGTACCTTTCATCGCTGGCTGCAGCCACTTTACACGGAAAAACACAGGTTTCGTGCTCCGGCTTCCTCCCCAAAACAGAGCCCTTGCAACATCATGCAGCCATTCCAATGCGATCTGCAACCACAGATTCCAAAACACCCTATAACTACGCACACACAAGCACACCCAAAGCAGCTTGAAGCCACCGTTACAATGCGGCAAAAAAAAAGGCAAACCGACCGCAGCCGCAACCGCCGCACAGACGAGGTACCTTTCATCGCCGGCTGCAGCCACTTTACACGGAAAAACACAAGGTTTCGTGCTCCGGCTTCCTCCCCAAAACAGAGCCCTTGCAACATCATGCAGCCATTCCAATGCGATCTGCAAGCACAGATTCCAAAACACCCTATAACTACGCACACACAAGCACACCCAAAGCAGCTTGAAGCCACCGTTACAATGCGGCAAAAAAAAAAAAGCAAACCGACCGCAGCCGCACCCGCCGCACAGACGAGGTACCTTTCATCGTCGCCTGCAGCCACTTTACACGGAAAAACACAAGGTTTCGTGCTCCGGCTTCCTCCCCAAAACAGAGCCCTTGCAACATCATGCAGCCATTCCAATGCGATCTGCAAGCACGGATTCCAAAACACCCTATAACTACGCACACACACACGCACACCCAAAGCAGCTTGAAGCCACCGTTACAATGCGGCAAAAAAAAAAAGGCAAACCGACCGCAGCCGCACCCGCCGCACAGACAAGGTACCTTTCATCGCCGGCTGCAGCCACTTTACACGGAAAAACACAAGGTTTCGTGCTCCGGTTTCCTCCCCAACTCACCACTTCCCTTCCTCACCGCTTCCCATCGTCACCACTTCCCATCGTCACCACCTCCCTTCGTCCACTTCCCTTCCTCACTACTTCCCTTCCTCACCACTTCCCATCGTCCCCACCTCCCTTCTTCACCATTCCCCTTCCCTTCGTCACCACTTCCCATCGTCACCACTTCCCTTCGTCACCACTTCCCTTCGTCACCACTTCCCATCGTGACCACTTCCCTTCGTCACCACTTCCCTTCGTCACCACTTCCCTTCGTCACCACTTCCCTTCGTCACCACTTCCCTTCGTCACCCAATTCCACCGCTTCAATGTCCTTCATCAAGGTCAATTCCACCGCTTCTTCTTCTTGTGTTATGTATTGTTATGTTATGTAGTTATGTATTGTTATGTGCTCTACCAATTGTTATGTTATGTAGTTATGTATTGGTATGTGCTCTACCACCCTTCATCAAGGTCAATTCCACCGCTTCTTATTCTTGTGTTATGTATTGTTGTGTTATGTATTGTTATGTGATCTACCACCCTTCATCAAGGTCAATTCCACCGCTTCTTATTCTTTTGTTGTGTATTGTTATGCTATGTATTGTTCTGTGATCTACCACCCTTCATCAATGTCAATTCCACCGCTTCTTATTCTTTTGTTATGTATTGTTAGATTATGTTTTGTTATGTGATCTACCACCCTTCATCATAGTCAATTTCATCGCTTCTTATTCTTTTGTTATGTATTGTTAGATTATGTTTTGTTATGTGATCTACCACCCTTCATCATAGTCAATTTCATAGCTTCTTATTCTTTTGTTATGTATTGTTAGATTATGTTTTGTTATGTGATCTGCCACCCTTCATCATAGTCAATTTCATAGCTTCTTATCCTTTTGTTATGTATTGTTAGATTATGTTTTGTTACGTGATCTACCACCCTTCATCATAGTCAATTTCATAGCTTCTTATTCTTTTGTTATGTATTGTTAGATTATGTTTTGTTATGTGATCTACCACCCTTCATCATAGTCAATTTCATAGCTTCTTATTCTTTTGTTATGTATTGTTAGATTATGTTTTGTTAGATCACGTACCACCCTTCATCATAGTCAATTTCATCAAGTAAAAGTCATTCGTAACTCGGAAGTATTGCTTCCCAACTTCCTTTGATGACGGGCAAAATTTGACTGGAACCCGTGTAAATTAAATTGCCAATAATTGCTATAAATGGTTTTGAAGCCTTGGGCAATAAGTTATTTTGATGCTTGCGACTCTACCTGGACAGGAATTCAGCTTCCTCTCCATTCTTTTTTACAAGTTCAATTACTCCAAAAACTCGCCATCTAAAAGTGGATACAATGATCGGATACAACCTTAGGGATACAACATGATACAAGCCAACTATTATCCCAGTTGCTAGTGTCATGGATCACCAAGGTCTGCACTTGGACTTGCCCCCTGCTCCGCTGCCCCGTTGGGTTCTGCCCGGCGCCGCAAACAGCGGCGCTTCGCTGAAACGCCGGGAGGAACGACAGCCGGTGCTGCAGCAAGGCCTGTTGAAGCGGCCGAGGAGAACGCAACAACCCGTTGCAGCCGTGGTGCTGGACTGATGCGGACTTGATGACCTGTTCAGTGATTGACGTCCTTGCTGTCTATTGCTAGTTGATCATCCAGCAAGCATTGATGCTTTGGTAACTTATTATCTTGCAAGCATTGACATGCATGTGCATGAGTAGCTTATTATCCAGTATCGGTATTGCTTGCATGAAATAATCATGGTTTACAGTAACCACTTACTGAGATCATCATCCAAGTTCAAGTCAATCAGAACCTGAATGTTAGGGCTTAAGACAACAAATACGTGTACTTAGACTGAGAAGAACGCAGAGACACCTGGTGAATGGGATACACTTAAACAATAATTATAATTAATGATAATAATATATAATTTGATAATAATTATAAATATAAGTACATTGTATATATACATATAAACACTATATATATATTATGAAATATATAATATATATTATGAAATATATAATATATATCCGCTTCCATTTGGTGAAAGATGTTTACCCAACTCATATTCGCCATTTTGATTGAGGAATTTGATCGATGGCTGTTTGTTGATCAGCACCACCGTGCGCCTGGAGGGAGCGAACAATGGTGTTATTAAGAAAAGAAAACCATGAAGAGATATGATTATAAATATATATATATATGCATGTGTAGATGTGTAGATGGATAGGTAGGTAGGTAGATAGATAAATAGATAGATAGATAGATTCTTAGATAGATAGATAGATAGATAGATAGATAGGTAGATAGAATTCTTAGATAGATATATTCTTAGATTCTTAGATAGATAGATAGATAGGTAGGTAGGTAGATAGATTGATAGATAGATAGAGAGAGAGAGATAGAGAGATAGATAGAGAGAGATAGATAGAGAGATAGATAGAGAGATAGATAGAGAGAGATAGATAGATAGATAGGTAGACACAGATAGGTACAGGTAGATAGGTCGATCGGTAGATAGGTAGATAGATAGATAGATTCTTAGATAGATAGATTCTTAGATAGATCGATTCTTAGATAGATCGATTCTTAGATAGATCGATTATTAGATAGATAGATTATTAGATAGATAGATTCTTAGATAGATTGATTCTTAGATAGATTGATTCTTAGATAGATTGATTCTTAGATAGATTGATTCTTAGATAGATTGATTCTTAGATAGACTGATAGATTCATTATTATGTTTATTTATTGACATGCATACAGGGTTATATAGAGTGGAGAGATAGGTTGGATAAGATGGCTTCAGGCTAGATTTGATTGGATTGGTTCGGTTAGATCGGAATCGGATAGATACTGTACTATGTGTGATGATTCATCTGCATTTGCTCACTTCCTCCGAGCAAGCTGACCCCAAGTTGGGGCTGAAAACATCAGCTCCACAAGATGAAGATTACAAAATCTGCAACCGGGGGTGTCCTGCGGTCAAATTGCAACTGCTATTGCTTGGGGGGTTCCGCCCAAAGCAGAAGAGAAGCAAGTTGGATTTCCAGACACACCTAGAGGAATCAAGAGCTAAGAACTCAACACGTGTTTCAAAAGAATACACTGATGCGGGTTTTCATTTGATGATATGTTTCTTTATGCATGTTCGGTCATCATAGTTGTAGATAATCCCATCCCCCTAATATTAAACACCCCCATTGTATGATCCCACATATTTGATTTCATCCCTTACTAAACTTGCTAAACCGTGATTCCTGGGGGGTGTTAGATATTATATACCTTAAAGAATTGCCAGAAATCTGGTTACCCCTTTCTAAACCTAAAAGTTTTCTGAGTCTTCAATATCACCAGAAAAACCATCCCATGACGGATCCATGGTGCTGGCTATATATGGTGTGCCATGGATCCCATCAACAAAAACCCCAGTCATGTGATCGCATTAATCTACCAGCACCATTTTTCTCACCAGAAAAACCATGTTCTTCGATGTTCTTCCCACATAAATGTGGGTTTTTGCCACATCAACTGGTGGGTTTCTGTTCCCGTCCCCATTAAAAGCCGGGGTAAACCCAGATGGAAGCCGGCAGGTCCAACAGTCCTGGAGAGACACTGCAGCCTTGGAGGAGGTGCAGTAATGTTTTAGCGGGATATACAAATGGGGCATATGTAAATGTAGATGTGGATGTAGATGTAAATGTAACGAAAGGTGTGTCTGTATGTACATATAGGTATATTTATATACATACATACATATACTGGCCGTTCCTTTCGGACATTTTTTATTTTTGTCCATTTTTTCCAGGGTCGCCCGCCTTCCGCCTTTTTATCATTTGATCTCAACCAGTTCCCTTGGCCGCCACATGATGAGAGACTTGGAGGACTGACTGGAGTGACTGGTTGGGGTTCAGGGCATGATCTGCGAGCGAATGGTGTTGCACCATGATAGTCATGAGTGCTATGACACTGGGCCTGAGCAGTCCCCAGGAAATCCATGGCCGACTGTTTGATTTCCCAAACTCAGATGATGGTTTTTAGCTGTACCTAGGGAAATCTTTATCAAGTGAATCTCCTACAGGGGAATTAAGATGAATTGAGCATCTCGTGGTTCACTTGCCCAACCCCAGGTGGCATGTTTTGCGTGCCCAGAAGGTGCCCGGCTGTGCCTGAATGTGCAAAAAAAAAGTAGGGTGGACATGTCTAGCAAAGGGAGGGGGATTTCCAAGTTCGTGAGCTATTAGGACCACCAAGTGTCGATTCAGACCTACTTGACAAAATGCAAATTTTTATATAGTGGATGGTTAGGAAGGATGAAGTGCGGGGTTAGGACTTTTGATGTCCGTGGTTATATAGATCATCTGGATTTTGGTGCGGGGTTATGGTTGTGAAAGTGGGCAAATTGTTGGGTTGTCCTTTTTGGTAGCAGGACCTCTCTTTTTGGTGGGGTGCTTCTGGGTTCTCGTTCCTAGGCTTCAGAATGACCGCAAAAACATGTCAACCACTCTCCCTTGTTCTGGAACGTTGATTGCATATCTAAGTCTGGTAACTTTAATGTGCAGTGAGAACCCAAATGCATTGTATCCCAAAACTGTTTTGATGAGGCTCTTGACTGAGACTAGGTTCAGAAGGGCGGTGATTTTGGACGAATGATTTTCATCGGAGTTGCCCATTCACACACCCAGGACTTGCCCAGCGCATGCAGGTTTGGTGATGTGATCAGAAGTCAGAGCACGCTACCCAAATCACCCTTGCGGCATAAGGGCAAGGCGGCCAGTCCTAAGGGGGTATCAGGCCGTGTTAAAGAAGGACAAGGAAAAGATTCGCCAGTGAAAACAGGAAATCCAAAAAGGAAACCATGAATTACTTTACTTCGTGTGATCCCCACCATGACATGTCAAGACGTATTTGGACATATACTTTATATATTCTGCCAATCAATCTGGCATATATTCTGACATTCTATCTGACATATATTCTGACATTCTTTCTGGCATTCTATCTGACATATATTCTGACATTCTTTCTGGCATTCTATCTGACATATATTCTGACATTCTATCTGACATATATTCTGACATTCTATCTGGCATATCTTCTGGCATTCTATCTGACATATATTCTGGCATTCTTTCTGGCATTCTATCTGGCATGTACACAGGTTGAAGTCCGGCAGTGCCCACTGCGATCTGGAAGTCGCTGCTGAAGTCCGGCAGTGCCCACTGCGATCTGGGGCTCGCGGTTGCAGTCCGGCAGTGCCCACTGGGATCTGGAAGTCGCTGCTGAAGTCCGGCAGTGCCCACTGGGATTTGGTGCTCGTGGCTGAAGTCCGGCAGTGCCCACTGGGATCTGGAAGTCGCTGCTGAAGCCCGGCAGTGCCCACTGGGATCTGGAGCTCGCGGTTGAAGTCCGGCAGTGCCCACTGCGATCTGGAGCTGGCAGATGAAGTCCGGCAGTGCCCACTGCGATCTGGAGCTGGCAGATGAAGCCCGGCAGTGCCCACTGCAATCTGGAGTTTGGTGAGGAGGCGGAGGAGGAGACGGCGGAGGCGGAGGCGGCGGAGGCGGCGGGCGTGGCGGAAGCGGCGGGCGATGCATCTCTGATAAAATCTAGTAACCCTCACCTGGCAGGTGGGGAAAAAAATAATCCAGTGCTCCATGGGCCGGTGAATTGGCTTGAGCATTCTTGTGACACCATGTCATCATTTGATTACGTCAACGCGGGCTTTAGCAATCTTGAGCTGTCCCTTGCATTAGATGATGGCTGTTGTCGTGTCCAAGAAGCGTTAGGCATTGGATGCACCCCAGGATTAGAAGACTATCAGTCCAACCGACTTGCCCAGTGTGAGAAAGTTTATGCCCAGTGATAGGGAGGAATGTGGGCATGTATGTGCATGTGTAGGTTTGACAAGCCCTTGCCCGTGATGGTTTCAATCATTCATAGTCACTTCTTCAATGAAGCTAGCCAGCGGGGACTTGACTGAGTTATCATAAATTGCTAGCGTTTCCTCCGCTTTGCTGAGCCTTTGATTCGTCCTTCGCCGCTTGCTTCTTCACTTGGTTAGTTAGGCCCTCAGAAGGATGACTGGAAGTGAAATGTCCATGGCTTGGACCATCAGACCGGCAGCGGTTTTATTCTTCAATGCTCCCCGAGTCAGGGTGTGGCCGGCTCCTTCACAGGTCAGTTGCTTAGGCAGAATTTAAGCTGAGAATCCATCCAAGTCAGTCATCCATGGAAATGTGTCGTTCAGCTATGGGCTTGATTTTGGCGGAAGCGGTTTGCCATCATTGTCAAGCTCTTTCATTTTTCATTGTCGTGTGATTGTTAATTCCTGGTGCTTTAGGTGTCCAGTGCTGACAACATGGTACTGGAGATACGAAGGCGCCAGTGCTTCTTGCAATTTGGGTTGAGTCAGAGTGTTTGAATCGTTTTTGAAGTGTGAAGTTTGGATCCCTTGTCATGGCAATGGGGGTTTCAAGCAGGAGCCTGCTTTCCATGCGTTGATGCTGGCCTTGCTGCAGCCGCATTTTGCGCAGCTCACTTGAAAAAATGACGCAGGATTCCCTTGCAAAATCAAATCTAGGAC